GCTGGCAATGGAGGTTCTGGAGGTACTGCTAGTGCTGGAGGCACTGGAGCTGGAGGTACTGGAGGTACTGGAGGTGCTGGAGCTGTTAGTTCTGGAGGTGCTCGTACTAGAGGTGCTGGAGCTGCCGGAGAAGGTGGTGCTGCTGGTGCTGGAGGTGCTGGAGGTGCTACTGGAGCTGCTGGCACTGAAGGTGCTAGAGGTACTGCTGGTGCTAGAGGTGATGGTGTTTCCGGAGCTCGTGGTGGTGCTGGTGCTGGAGGTGCTACTGGAGCTGCTGGTGCTGGAGGTGCTGGTGCTGTTGGTGCTGGAGGAGCTGGAGCTGCTGGTATTGCCCCGCGCCGACTGTTTTTCTTCCCGCAGCAGCAGTCGTCCCTGCCGCCGCCTGACTCGGTCCTTCGCCAGGTTCTTAGTCTCTCGTCTTCCACTGGCCTCACACCACCTCTCTTGTGTCCACCGACAGACCAGTCTCAGCCACAGCTTCTGCTTGGCTCCCCGCTGCCTGCTCCTGCTCCTCACACTAAGGTGACTGAGTCCCTGACTGAGTGTCGTGAGTCTGAGACTCGTGCTTCCACACCTGTTCGTGCTCGTCGTGTCGCCCGTCCTCGTCCTCCTGCTGTCCCAGGCACTCACGGTATGACACTTCGTCCTTCCTCTGTTCCACAGCGTGTTGTCCTGCCTGAGCCCCCCGCGTCCTCTCTTCCACATGTTCCTGACCCTGAGTCCGACCTTGCTCGTGCTGCCAGTCCTACTGTCACTCGTCTCCTTGCTACTGTCGTCACTGACCCTGACTTTGAGTCTACTGCTGCGTTTGCCCTAGTCACTGAACTAGTCGACTTTGCAGCTAGGAGTTGTCTTGACTACGTCGCGAGTCTTGTTACTGAGTTTGATTCTGTCTGTCCTCCGTCTGTCGGGGGTGAGCCTGCCCTTAGCAGCGACATCCTTGAGGACAGGCAATTTGAGCTTGAGTGTCTTGCGGCCGCTTTACCTCATTTCGCATCCATGCTGTTTTGCCCAGAGGGAGACCCGGATGCACTTGACATCCCTACCCGCGCTCTTACACAGAGGGAATCGTAAATATACAATTCAATAAAGGATATGCAAATATACAATTCAATATAACTTGCAGCACAATCATTCACAACTGTGCGCATCCAGACCTCAAATCTGGTACAAAAACAAGCCCATTCTACGGTACCGTATACTCCCGGACAAAACACCCCCCCATAATTGTACACCCCCGGGTAGCTTGTGCAGGGTGGGTGTTATGGGGAGCCTCGTTTCTACTATACCCCCCTTTTTGCCTGATTCTCTATAAGACCCGGGGGGGGTGTTATGGGCGGCAAAAATACTGAATTTGCTTATTGTACATTGCATACAGGGTACTTTACAGGTACTACAGAAGTAATGTGCCAGCACATAGTCATCGACAATGTCACCTAGACTGCAGAAACATCACCACAAGAGCACCTCACATCCACAATTTCACCTAAAAAAACTCTATACAATGTGCCTTCTACTCAGAATCGTCTCCTGAATGCCATTCTTCACAGTCTTCCCCGTCAAAGCGGCCAGGGCGCCACCATTTGTCATCGCTGGGCTCTTCTGCCTCCCAGCCTTCCTCAAGCACGCCCCCCTCCTCCTCTGCCGCCGCCGCTTCCGCGTCCTCCTCAGCAGCGTCAGCCTCCTCTGCCGCCGCCTGCAGCTCCTCGGCCGGCATGGGGACTTCGGCGTAGAAGGGGTTGACGACGAGCTCGTCGTCAACCAGGTCGTTGACGTCGTCAAGGACTTCCACCTCACCCTTGTCCCACATGTGTGCAAGGATGAGGTGGTCCTCGCTGCCATTGATGGGGGTGCAGATCCCACACGTGACGAACGCCTTCTTCACGAGCTCCTCTGGGATTGCTTCCCAGGACTCATCGATCCAGCGGAGCACCAACTCCGCTGGCAGCTTCTTGAGATTGCCTGAGGGACGGGGAAGGGTAGAGAAGGACAAATGTGAATTTCCAGAGTGTAAGCCGACATTGATTCAAAGTTACACATGCGGATGTCATGGTTCAACTCACCGGACTTGGTGGTGGTGTTGATGCCCTCTTCTTCGAACCAGCCACTGTAGCGATGACGCACACCGCACTTGAACGCGCGGTTGATCGACACATCCAGAGGCTGCACTAGCGGAGTGCAGCCCCCTGGGATGACAGCCCGTGATAGCCGAAACATCCGCATGGTCTGCCCGACCGCCTCAGTCAAGTGGCCGCGGTAGGAGTCGAGCACAACCAAGGCCTCCCTGCGGCGTCCAGTTGATTCACGCAAGGGCTTCAGAAACGGCACCATCACCTGGGTGATCCAGTCCTGCACAAGTGATTCGTCCATCCACCCTTTGTCTTGTGCACGGACCACCACACCTGCCAAAGAATACCGGTACGTCAGGGTCAAATTCGGTTGCGACTGTTGACAGGCTAGAGTAGTGACATCATCCTAAACGTGCTACGCTTACCGGCAGGGATGGGCACCTTCGGTATGGTCTTGCGCTTGAACACCACGTACGGCGGCAGCTTGAGCCCGCTCGCAGTTACTGCCAGCATGACAGTAACACGCTCCTTCTCATAGCCCGCACTCCGTACGTGAACCGTCCGCGCTCCCTTCATTTCGAGCGTGCGCTCCGCCGGCATCTCCAGGAAAAGCGGGGTTTGGTCCGCGTTCAAGATGAGGTCACGCGGGTAGTCGTGCAGAGAGCGCATCTGGCGCACAAACTCCCAGAAGGACTCCACCTTGGCCTTGCAATCTGCAAGCAAAGCCACGAGACACATTAGCTCTGCACTGAGATGGCAATCAAGGAGCACGACGGCGCAACACTTACCCGCTGCCAACTTCTGTCCCATCTTCGTCTTCACCCGCCTCGCCAGATATCAGTGCGCGCGGAAACGAGTCGCCCAGCGAAACGATGCGCGCCACTTGACCCCGAGCATCCGGTGCTTCATGTACTTGGCGCTCCACTTCTGGAGCATGCTGACCGAAACGGCGAGCCCCCTCCCCCTGTGCTTGAGGAACTGGCGGTAGACCGCCCGTTCCATGAAAGGGAACTTGGACTTGCGGCCAGCTCCCATGAGGCGACGACGGCAGCTGGAATAGACCTCCAGCCGCTCCCTCATCTTCTTCCAATCGCGGATCTGGCATGGCTGCACCATCGCGAGCTTCGCCAGGGCGTGATTCGACAGGTCGGGCTGCGAGTCCTGCATCTTCAACCAGTGGAGCTTCTCCTTCGCGGTGATTCCCTTGCGCTGGTGTTTCGTCATGCGATGGCGAGGGGATGGCGGGTCAGCATCGGCGTTGCGCTTCTGCTGTCCCTGCGGGCGGTTCCGCTCCGGGAACGTGGGGACAACCACTCGAGGAAGGGTAGGGCGAGGACGGTCCAAGCTACTGCTCGGTTCATCCCTGGTAGAAGCACTACCGGGAGCATCCGGCTGAGGAAAGATTGGGCGAGGAGACGTCCGTGCGCGTGCAGAAGCGCTAGTCTGATTGGTGGAAACAGGCCGCTGCCGCCTATCTACCATACTGCTAGAATCTGGAGATGAAGCCATGCTTGGGAACTAAGGCAGGTCGATGTCACTCGCCATGGGAGAAATGACTTTAAAGACGATACCCTCGTGCACAGGAAGGAGACGCTCTCACAGCCTGCCGAGCACTTGTCAAAGACGTGCACTGGAACCGCTTGACGAAGAGAAGAGCAAGCTTGGGTGAGGAAGCTTGGACGTGACTACCGTACACGGCAGTCAAGGGGTCACAGGTACAGTGACAACACAGCACCGTGCGCGATTCCGGCCTCGTACTGCATGAACCCAAGCTGCGCGAGGTTGGCACTGATGTCAACCAATCAGGTGGCACAGTGGGCCCACTCAGGGCTGATTTTATCAGGGTAATTACCCTGATTTCAGGGTGATTACAGGCTTCTCACATGGTGGTCCCTGAAATTTCAGAATTTCTGACTTGTGAACACTGATCCATTCAGAATAGTGCTTTAGCGAACCCTGAAATATTGTATCTAGACTCAGAGTCGGGTTCTTACTGACTCTGTCAATGTAGAGTACGCGTTCTGTGGACTCTGAATTTGACCTTATCGGAAGGAGGTTTCTCGGAAATTTCCTTCCGATAACCCCGCCTTCGGATTGGTCGTAGTACAGCAAGAGCGTGAGCACCGCGCGGCAACATGTATGACAGGTGAATACACTCTACGTATGTTAGTGTCACTGAATTCGAAGATGTCGGTCGTATTGTCGCAATTACGTGTGCGTGAAGTTATCAACACATTTTTTGCGTTTCGCACAATGAAGTTGGCGAATCGCGGGTAATCGGCGAATAGGAAATCTTGGCACATCTATGGTACCGAACTGTTTGGTGGACCGAAATTGCTCGTTTCTTCCCCGCGCTAAAACGTGTGGAGAAATACAAATGTTATAAAAGTAACGGGTCAGAAAGTAAAGCGCACAAGGTGTGCACGAACTGATGTCGCGTTGTGATGGAATCCTGCGGGGTGAAACTTTTGTCCCCGTTAAATACAGTGCGCGTTACTACATTGATGTTCAGTTCTCGACCCTGAGCAATCAGAGTTAACTACTTTTCAACACTGAGCAATCAGAGTAGCCTACCTGTGGAAAATATGCACCCATAATACAGGGGGGGAATTTTCCCGGGAATCAGGGAGGCTTAAAATGAAACGTCAGCCCTGGGCCCACTGGAATTTGCCATGTGGCAGATTCCAGTGGAGGCCGACGTTATCCTCGTAGACGCGGTTTGGCGGCCCTGATCAAAAAAATAATAATAAGGCCAGACCCCTGTTTTTGTTTCCATTCATTTCTGCTTATAAAAAAATGTGCAATATAATAAGACCCGGGTATTATGTATTTTTTTCCTACGAGGAGACCCCCCCCCATTTTTTCCCTGTATTTTTAGCTATACCATAGGGTGTTATGTCCGGGAGAATACGGTACTTGGCATGGGCTCATCTAGAAAGTAGGAACAGGGGCGGCAGCAGCAGGAGTGGGGGCAGCAAAGGCATCAGGCACGGCGGCGGGGAGGGCGAGCTTGTGGGGCTTGGAGAGCAAGTCGGTGAACTCCTGGAAGGGCGTCTTGGTGAGTGACCTCTGGCCAACGTGTCGGTCAGTGTGTGCACTGTGCAGTCACTTAAAGAAAGAGGGACACACGGATATGGTACAAGCTTGTTCTTGACTCAGATTAACTTGCAGCACAATCATTCACAACTGTGCATTCAGAATTTGAATCTACAGAAACAAGCCCATGCATTCCTTCCCACTCAGTGCCGACTCATCTAGAAGGCAGGAACAGGGGCAGCAGCAGCAGGAGGGGGGGCAGCGAAGGCATCGGGCACGGCGGTGGGGAGCGCGAGCTTGTGGGGCTTGGCGAGGAAGTCAGTGAACTCCTGGAAGGGCGTCTTGGTGAACTTGGTGGCGTGCCACAGGTCGGGCGTCAGGAAGGCGTATGTGTTGAGCAGACAGGCGAACGTGGCCTGATTAAGGGCAACGGATGGGAGAGAAAGAGCGGGCATGTGGTGTGTGGGGGAGAGGTAAGGAGCAAGAGAGTGATCATTGGATGGGGAGTGATAAGCACATGTGTGACTTGGTGGCGACTAACCAGACCTGGGAGTACCAAGGAACTAGCAGTGAGGAGTTGGAGGGGAAGGGGGAGAGGAGATAGGGAGGGGAACGTGAAGGGGAGAGGAGAGTGGAAGCGAAGCGCCGGTGGCATCAGGAGTCAAAGGATTTGATTTCATGCGTCCCATTCCCGTGAGAAAGGGGCGCATCATGTGAATCATCGATAGACCAGCATCACTTGCCGCCACCAAAGGAGAAGCATTCATTGTAGAAACGAGAATAAGCTGAGGAAGGGGAGAAAGAGCGGGGGACACGGGGAGTGTGGGGAGGAGGTGGAAAGTGCGGGAAAGAACCGAGCTGGTGGGGAGTAGGTCAGGCCGTGAGGAAGAGGGAAGCAGCGTTACATTGGGAAAGAAAGGAGGGAGACAAGGGAAGAGAGGCGACGAGCCGGCGGCATCAGAAGTCAAGGTGTTTAATTTCACAGGCCCCATCCCGTGAAGGAGGGACGCGTCATGTGAATCATCGATAGACCAGCATCACTTGCCGCCGCCAAGCGAAAGGCATTTGGGTTCGGTGGCGTAGGGTGGGGGAGGGGAAGGATGGGGTAACAGGAGAAAGAGTGGGGGACGATGAGTGGGTGTGCGGAAGAAGGAAGACGTGAGAGGAAGAGGGGAGACGTGTGAGAAAGTTGGGGGAGTAGGTCAGACTTGAGGTAAAGAACAAAGTGGAGCTGAATCAGGAACGACTCGAGGGAAGCAGGGAAGCGAGGCGACGGGCTGGTGGCATCAGGAGTCAAAGGGTTTGATTTCACGAGTCCTCATCCCGTGAGGGAGGGACGCATCATGTGAATCATCGATAGACCAGCATCACACGCCACCAGTCGGTTGTGCGGGCGGACGGGTATGGGGGAAATGAAGGGAAAGCAGGCAGGCAAGCAGGCTGCAGGGATGGATGTAGGGCGGGAGGTAGAGAGTCACTTTTGAGAATTCTCAGAAGTGACTCGGTTGTGCGGGAAAACGGGTATGGGGGATATGAGGAAGACCGGCAGTCAAGCTGCAGGGAAGGAGGGAGGGAGAGAAGTCTACACACTGCTCCCAACGTCTAAACGCAGCAGGAGCCAGAGTCCTGTAGCTCCGATAGTCGACCAAGCCATGACACGCACGGCGAGCGATGTCAGGGGAATCACTCATTAGGACTCGAACAACCAACGCTCCCCATAACCTGGATTACTTCGCCGTCCCCGACTTGACTACGATAACCGCTTCAACGTAACTTCTACTAGAGAACGCGCCTGGGTTCACTCGCTCGATACAGGTCCGTTGATCCCAGTGGTTACTGCTGCCAAACGACCGTTTTTAGCCACTAGGCCTCACAAGCTACACTACTGTAGCAGCAAGAGTACTGAAACACAGAGGCTACAAGAATGAGACACGCGCAACCGGGAATTGCGACTGGTTTTTGGAAGGACGCCGGCTGCAGGGGCGTACGACGAGCCTATGACGAGCCGATGACCGGCCTAGATATCTACGGCTCGTGCAGGCACTCATACCCGCGAGCAAATCCGCGTCATCTCAATCCCACCTCCCCCGCCTAGCCACCCTATGCCGCCTCCCCCGCTTCCCCTCCCTCCCCCGCCCCCACCGCCTCTCCCCGTGTCCTTTCCCTGCATGCCCTCCTAGCTGCTGGTACAGGAAATTCGCTTTGTCGAGAGAATGGCGATTTGACGAAATGCGTGCGGTGCGTAGGGTTACAAACCTTCACGAAATTGCCGAGCGTTTTCGTGGACCCGCGCGACGACGTGAACACGTCCTCGATACCCGCGAACTGCAGCACCTTCTTCGGCACGCGCGCCGCCACAATCCCGGAACCACGCGGCGCGGGCACGAGTCGCACGGTGACCGAGCCGCACTTCCCGGTAACCTTGGTCGGCACGGTGTGCGGCTTGCCGATCTTGTTACCCCAGTACCCGCGTCGCACGGGAATCACGGACAGCTTCGCGAGGATCAGCGCGCCGCGGATGGCGGTGGCCACCTCCTTAGCGCACTTCACGCCAAGGCCGATGTGACCGTTGCAGTCACCGACGACGACGAACGCCTTAAAACGCGTACGCTGCCCGGCGCGTGTCTGCTTCTGCACGGGCATGATCTTCATCACCTCGTCCTTAAGAGTCGGCAGGAAAGCCTCGACAATCTGATGCTCCTTAATCGGCAGCGAAAAGAGGTAAATGTGCTCGATCGACTTAATCTTTCCCTCCTTCACGAGCCGCCCGAGCTTAGTCACCGGCACCCACGCCTCCTCCTTATCGTCCGCGCGTCTGCGCCCGCGCCCGCGCCCCCTGTCTCCGCGGCCCCTGTCCCCGCGCCCTCCGCGGTCCCCGCGGCCGAAGCCGCGATCGAATCCGCCTCTATCGGCCATGCTTGTAGAGAGCAGTCACTACAAGTCTAAAACGGGTACAAGCCTAGTAACCGCCTGGTTCGCTAGGAAAAGAGAGGGGGATAAGGGGAGGAGGAGAAGAAGAAAGAGTTTGAGTGGAGGGGAACAGGACAAGAAGAGACAGGAGCGGGGGGACGAGGGAGTGCGTGGCACCATAGGTAGGGGTAAATTCGCTGCTATTGTGGTGTGGTGGTTTTACGATGATGGTACGAAGTGGTGGTGCACCACGAGAGCTGGTAACTAGACGTAACAGCTACATAAGAAAGGTGCTCTAAGGAATTAGACTAACTTTTCCACACACTACACCAAGTACATTCCGTAGGATATCTCCTTGCCTAGTTTATTCATATACTTATGGAGGTGAGAAAGGTTCTCTGATATATTTCGAGGTTGGTCAAACTTGAATTGCGTTGACTGTGGCTCCTTACGATGTGACGAAATAGTTTGTATCGGGCCGTTGTCAGACTGTTTCCGCGCGGATATTTGAATAGGATATATCGACTGTGCTGCCGCGCTTCGTCAGAACATTTCGATCACAGCTTTCAAGGTTTCTTTGGAGACATTACCCGGCCAGAGGTGGGATTTTTTAAACCATTCTGATCGTTGCCCTGCTAGAGTTTGTTCCGTGATCTTTTTGCGACCAGAAGTTTTGATTTAGAACGCTCGGTACACCAACATTGGGTTAGACAAGAAAAGTGGAGATTGCCAACACCTTCCCGCTGGTTAAAACTACGTAACTTCCCTGCTAACAGGGGGCATCTCCGCATCGCAGCACCTGAATAAAGCACTACTTTTGGACTGAAGTGAGCTCATCACTTCCTTGCTTCACAAAACTGCATGCAAGATCATCAATTAGGGACGTCGCCGTAGAAGAGTCGGCTATCTCGTAGTAGACGCGCTCACGACTTACCTTAGCCCGGCTTATTCCTTCAGCTTTTGAAACCTGGCATCATGGCGTCCATTCTCCAAGCCTCATGACGCTTTAATCTCACGCAATACACCACCACATCGCGGAAAAGACAAGGGTCGAATGTGACGTAATTGTGACTTTCGGTCACTTTTACGTATACGGAACTTTGGGATAAAAATGTGATGGTTGGAAGTACCGGCTCCCATCACTTACAAGGTCACGAAATTGTGTTGATTTGGTGACTTTGGAGTCACAATGACGTCACATTGTAGTGACTGGCGAAGTGATTTTTTCGTACTTTCTTTATCCTCACCACGTGGACAAAACGTGTTACATCTTTCCAGATATTTTGCCAGGTGTCCTGGTTGATGATTGGTCAATTTAGGGTGTGCCCAAACGTGATTTCATTGGCTAGCGATTCTGAATAGCGACCGCATGTCGCACACGAAATTGAGCATCGCATTGCGCACATCGAAATTTCAGAACACCACAACCATGACGTCCATTGGTGTTTCTAATGGGCGCCATGGGCAAATCGCGGATGCAGATCGTGCGCCAGAGGAGATGCGCGGGAGTGATGCGAGGCGCCAGGGGCAAACCGCGGATGCAGATCGTGCGCCAGAGGAGATGCGCTGGAGTGGCGCGAAACGCCAGGGGAACATGGCGGCAGATCACTCGCCCAAGGGACCGCGTGGAGGTGAAGCGAGGCGCAGCAGGAGCAAAGCAGCTGAGCCCTTGTCAAGGGAGCGAGGGGAGGAGGAGAAGAGCCGTGCTGCGCCAGCAGGCGTGTATCGTTCGCCCGAGCCAGGACAAAGCCGGGCGGGCAGGAGGCGTTTGGCGATGGGAGGAATGAGATCGCCACAGTGGTCGGAAGAGGAGGAGGACGAGGATTACGAAGGAAGGCGCGTTCAGCACTCGCCAGCAAGGAGGCAGCGGCCGCAGGGGAAGGCGCGAGGCAGGGGTAGCGAACGTTCGTCACCCAGCGCCTCAGAGGCTGATGTTGGAGCGCGTCGTGAGAAAGCAGAAGAACACCTGCGGGCAGAGAGGAGGGCTGCAAAGGAAACAGGCGGAGAAGCAAGAAGGTGGCCCGAGAGAGAGAGACGTGTGAGGAGGGGCGAAGGAGAGCAATACCAGCGAGGTGAAGAGGCAGGAAGGGAAGGAGAAACGGGAAGACGGGATCAGGAGCACCGAGGCTGGGAAGAGCGCGGAGATTACGAGGAAAGAGGCGGGTGGCGCTCACCAGAGAGAGAAAGGGAGCGCGAGGAGGACAGGCGAGGCAAGAGAGAAGGTGTGCGGTCACCAGAAGTCTCGAGGGCAGCAGAGAAGGAGCCACAGCGAGAGGACAGAGTGCGGCGGTACCAGGAGCGGTCCCCTGCAAGGAGAGAGAAGCGTCGGGAAAATGCAGAGAGGCGCTGGGGGGAGCGTGAAGATGCCCGAGGGAGGTGCCCCAGCCCGATGGGCCCGAGGAGGCCTGGGCGTCACGGCGAAGGATCTGCAGGAGCAAGAGCGGCTAGGGAAGGCATAGAGCGAGTGCTGTACGGAACCTGCACGGGCAGCAGGGAAAAAAAGGAAAGGAGGAGAGGGGTTATGATGTCTGAGCGAGGAGGGACGGAGAGCTGGGAAACAGGGAAGTGGGGCGCAACAGCACAGCCGCGAGTGGAGGTGCCAGTGCGCTTCACGGGAAACGAGGAAACCAGTCCAAGTCGGAATAATTATTTGATGCAGATCAACAATGATAAATACCGATGCGACAGAAGCGGGATGGACCCGATTGAGTTTTTCCTGAGCCTGCCAAGCACGTTGGGAGGGGAAGCAGAGACTTTGTATCGCATGAAGATTGGTGAATGGCTGAGGAGGGCAGAAGAGGATGACGAGGACCCGACGGTACTGTTCCTGGAGCGACTGAGGAAGCAGTTCCCTGGGCATACGGCGGCGCGCATTAGGGAATTCCAGGAGTTTAGGCGGAGGGATGAGGAGTCACTGCTGACATGCTACGGACGGTTAATGAACCTGGCGGAAGACGTGGTGTGCACGGACAGCAGCATGATCATTAGTAAGTTTCTGAACGGTTTAGACAAGGGATTGGCAGGAGGGTTGAGAATGAGAGTCTATGAGCTAGGAGCAGATGCAACACCAGAGGAGGTGTTCGAGTTAGCGGAGAGGGTGGAGCTGGCGCAGAGGAAGTACAAGGTATACCTGCCGAGGACGATAGAGAAGAAGAGTCCTACCTGGGCAGCGGCGATGATACCAGGGGAGGGAACAGGAGAAGAGAGTAGGCCGGAGAAAAGGACAGAGACACGCACCTGTTACCGGTGTGGGCTGCCGGGGCACATAAGGATCCACTGCAGGAACTGCGATGTATGTGGGAAGCCTGGGTACCGCCGAAGGGACTGCCCGGAGGCACCGACATGTAAGGAGTGCGGAGAAAGGGGGCATGAGGCAAGGGAATGCGATAAAGTGGCAGGCGGAACAAAAGGGTCACCAGAGGAGATCAAGAGCCAGATAAGGAAGTTGCAGGTGGAGTTGCAGGCCCTAGGAGGGAGGAAGGAGGAGGCGGGGTTGTACGCGAGGGAAGAGGGAGCAGAAGAGGAGGAGGGGCAGGAGCCAGAGTACACATTCCTGACGTTACGTAGCCATGAGGAACTGGGTCTGTGCAGTGGGGGCAGAGACGGAAGGAAAGGGCGGGCGCTGAGAGGAAGAACAGAGAGGCAGGCGAGGTTGTGTGTAAGGGAGGAAGAGGAGGAAGAGGAAGGGGAGCAGGAGCCAGAATACTCCTGTGCGGTGCTGCGTAGCAGTGAAGCCATGGGGCTGCGCAGTGGGGGCAGGGACGGAGGAAGGGAGCGAGCGACGAAGGTGAGGGCATGGGCAGTGGCAGAAGGGGAAGAGAAGGATGAGAAAGAGGGGACCTGGGCGTGCGTACCAGCAGCAGCGGAAGCATAGGAGAAGGACGAGCAGGTGGGGGCAGGAGTGGGTGTACTTGCAGCAGCAGAAGTAGAGGAGAGGGACGAAGAGGCGGGGGCCAGGGCGTGTGTACCAGCAGCAGCAGAAGCGGAAGTGAAGGGAGAGAAAGAGGGAGCGGTGAAGAAGGGAGGGAAGACGGGGCTGAGCAGTACAGACATGGGAGGGAGTGGTTGGCAGCCATCGCTAAGGACAGCGGAGTTGTTCGGGGAAATCGGGGCAGGGGTGAAGACTGGTGTGACGGTGAAGGATTGGACGCAAGCAGAGGAGCAAGGCCAGCATCTGAGGAAGCTGCGGGGAGGAAGGCCAGAGCTGCTGGGGGAAGAAATGATAGAAGAAGCAACGAGAGGCAAGGCCCAGGAGCAGGAGGAAGCAGAGCGGGAGAGTAAGGAAGTGGGGGCATGGGAGCCCCTAGCAGCGGGGGAAAAGGTACACCATACAATGGAAGAGGCGGAGAATCGGACGGCATGGGAGCGAGCTAAGGCAGCGGAACACTTGCAGGAGGTGATACCGGCGGCGGTGGAGGAGCGACATACCGTGCAGTTGAGGGGTGCGTGCTGCTGTGAGCAGTGGCAGCAGCAGGAAGGCAAGGGGATCAAGGCGGCTAGAGAGGAGGGACGGGAAGAGAGGGGCAAAGAAGGATACACTAGATGTGGAATAGGGAAAAATGAAGGGGAGGGCGCACGCATTGCGAGGCGTGGGAGTGCTCGTGCTGGAGAAGGAGAAGGGAGAACAGACCGTGGACCACCAGACCCGCACGGCAGGACTGAAGAGCAGCCGTCCTCAGCTGAGAGTCCTGTAACTCGTGCCCGAGCAGCTCGAGCACGAGCACAGGAGGGGGCAGGTAGTGGCTGAGTACGAAGAAGGGAACATGTAGCAGGAGTGGGGACAGCACAAGGTGGGGAAAGTCCAGAATAAGAAGGAAGGGAAGAAGGTGAGGACAGAAGACAGGGAAGAGGCAAGGGCAAGAGATGAGTGAGGAAGGAGAGGGGAGTAACTCCGACACACAACGAACCCGAGGTGGAGGAGGGACTTGTTGATGTTGCACGCTTCGTCTAACCGCTCTCCCTCAGCCCCAGATTTGGCCGCGCTGCCAGGGGTGGAACGCGGTGGAGAGGGGTAATGTGCAGGGGAGTGGCGCTGGTGGGGAGGAGGGCAGGCACTACGGGCATAATAGAAATGCAAATAGATCCCCGGTGGCCTCTCATGTCTCGTGCTTTCAAGGGGCGAAGAAGGGTGAAGAGGGATGAAGCATGCTGGGCAGGAGAGAACTGCCACCTCTTAAAACCATGGCACGAAACAGTTGCACGTTTTGAAAGAAAAAAAAGTAGCGTGTTGTGACACGGCTTGTAAGGCAAGATATGGCAAGAGGGTACCTTTCAGGAAACGAGATATGGCAAGAAAAGAGCGTTGGGGGAGTTTAAATACCTTTCAGTCAAGGATATATGGCAAGAGTGGCGTGTTGAGGAGAAATGCATTTTGTACCTCTCAGAGCCTGCAAGGTCGACGAGATTCAGCTGACTGAATCGCCTCTTGCTGCTGTCCGCGGCGATCCACTTTTGAGACGTCTCAAAATTTTAAGACGTCTCAAAACTGTCAGCGGCGATCCACTGCGGTGGTGGGGATACACACACACATTTGTACACGCACGAAAATGACACAAAAAAGTGACACACGCAAGCGACCCAAGACAGTGTTATAAGAAAATGACATAAGATAGTGACACCAGAAAGTGACGTCAATCGTGACATAGGAGAAAAAAAATCAAAAGGCGTGCTTTGAATCAGCTCACAATGCTTCCAGCTTTACAACACTGTGAATGCTTCAATGTTACACGTGGACTCCAAAATGACTTCTGGCTGCACACAGAACTCACCTTGCACCTTGGCTTATCAGCAGCACTCACCGTGATGTGACACATGAAGACGCAATGCGATCGGCTGCTCTCCTTGTTCAGCTTCGTCCCTGCCGTTTTCCGATGCTCAATTCCCTGCATACGCACGCAGCAGCCAATGGAAGCACATGGTTGCAACACCCCTTCTCTGCTCTCTTTGTTGTCTTCGTCCCCGCAATTTTGGGGTGCTTGATTCCCTGCACACGCACACACCAGCCAATGCAAGCATACCGTTAAAAACTGCAGGGAATGACTGACATGCCGGCCATACATTCTTCAAACCTCCATGCACAGCTTATCTCTAACTCACACTATAGAGTCCACATCATTCACGGCTGAAAACTGGAAGGGCTGCAGCAGAAGCTGCCATTAACTCAGCCCATAAGCCATATGTACAAATAGGAGCGCTATCAGCCATCAAATAGGAGCGCTATCAGCCAGGTCTCACCTGTTTGATCAGCTCCATGCCTTCAGCACAGAAAGACCCTTATAAGGCACCAAGAAAACAATCTATATCCAGCTCCCCCCACAAGCCTAGTTTTGAGGCGCCTCGAAAGTCTAATCTATATCCAGCTCCCCCCACAAGCCTAGTTTTGAGGCGCCTCTAAAGTCTAATCTATATCCAGCTCCCCCCACAAGCCTAGTTTTGAGGCGCCTCTAAAGTCTAATCTATATCCAGCTCCCCCCACAAGCCTAGTTTTGAGGCGCCTCTAAAGTCTAATCTATATCCAGCTCCCCCCACAAGCCTAGTTTTGAGGCGCCTCTAAAGTCTAATCTATATCCAGCTCCCCCCACAAGCCTAGTTTTGAGGCGCCTCTAAAGTCTAATCTATATCCAGCTCCCCCCACAAGCCTAGTTTTGAGGCGCCTGGAAAGTCTAATCTATATTCAGCTCCCCCCACAAGCCAAGCCATCTGTGCAGAAGAGCAAGTCAGCCCACTCACCCGCTGGAAAAGCTCCATGACTAGAGCAAAGCCCCTGACCGGCTGCTTGGTCAGTCTGAATCGACTTAAAGGCACCTAAGTACACAAGCGCAAGCAGCTCAGCTCAGCTCATCTCAGCTCAGCTCAGCTCAGCTCAGCTCAGCTCAGCTTAACTCAGCTCAGCTCAGCTCATCTCAGCCCAGCTCAACTTCACTAAACTCACCCGCATTATGAGCTCCATGACTTGAGCAAAGCAGTGGACCGGATGTCGGCTGAGGTTCTGCACAAACACACCGTGGGGCCCCTTACGAATCTGAGGAAGGCATGGGAGGGAAGGGGATGGGCAGGTGTGCAAGAGACGTGCGTGTGGGGGGTTGATGAAAACTTAACTGAATGCTATGTGAGGTTCTCCAGAAACACACCGTGGGGCCCCTTACGAATCTGTAAGAGACATGGGAGGGAAGGGGATATACATGCCATACAGGCCGTACAATTTACCTGCACTATTGACTGGGCTATCTAATGAATGACCATTTAAGGGGATACACATGGTGAGGCTGACCAAGCGTGGGACTCTGCTGGGGTCCACGGATCTGAGTGGGTGGAGGAGGGGAAGGGCACACACTTTTGTAAATCTCCAAAAAGGAGCACGTGCAGCTGAATTCAAGGCTCGTGCCCCCCTTCTGCTGCGTCTCCTAGCAACGAGGGCAGATGGGCAGGAAGAGAGGGGCGGGAGAGAAAGAAGGAGGCGTAGGCAGTTTGGGGAGAGAGGGGACGAGTAGGTATGAGGGACTTCGAGAAGCGAGGGCAGGTGGTGCGATGGAAGCACTGACTTTGAGTGACGGTTGGTGGCATTGAGTGAACAGCCAGCATATAACAGTCAGCAAACAAGAACCGTACGAACACCTCTCATATCTTAGACTTTCATTGAACCCACAGCTTATTTTGGGAGTTACAGCTCCCCATTCAGGTGCACGCATTCAGGTGCACGCATTCAGGTGCACGCATTCAGGAGGCAGTAGGATGAGGGAAGTAGGGCACACACCTGTCCAATGGGGGAGAAGGGCACACACCTGTCCAATGGGGGAGAAGAGCAGCTGAAACACACGCGGGATCACCCCCCATTTCGTGCTGACCTCCACGTCAGCCTTGCTGTCCACGTCAGCTCCAAACATTGTGTACGTCTTTCCGCTACCCGTCTGAAAGGAATCAGAAGGTAAAAAGGAGTGAGAGAACGAAGTCAGGAGGAGAGTGTTTGATTCAGGAGGATGAAGAGCAAGCAATACGCTTGAACAGCGATATGTTTTAGGAAAGGGGTATGAATTAGACTATGTGAATGCTGTCAGTGGTCAGGAAAAAGGGGAAGAGGCACGAGAATGCAGGGCGCACCTGGCCACAGAGAGGAGGGGAGGGCGCACCTAGGGGAGGGCACACCTGGGGGAGGGCGCACCTGGGGGAGGGCGCACCTGGCCATAGGTGAAGAGGGTGCTGTTGTAGCCGGCCACGCAGTTCTCCACCATGGGCCACCCTGCCAGCTCGAATAGCTCCTCCTGGCGGGGGCCCAGGAGGGGAGGCGAACGGGGGACAAGGGACAAAGGAGCAGCGACCATTTAGTTCTTGGGAAACCTTCAAAGCCAACTATCTGCAGTTCTCGGCCATGGGCCGCCCTGCCAGCTCGAATAGCTCCTCCTGGCGAGGGGAGGGAGGGAAGGGGACCGGGGAGGGGGGCGGGGCGGGGGAGGGAGAGGGGAAGGAGTGAGGGGATGGCCTGAGGCGCCTGAAAGAAGTCTGCCCGCTGAACAGCTCCTCCTGCTGGGGGGGAGAGGGAGGGGAAGGGGAGGAATGAGGGGATGGAAAAGCGAGGGGATGGAGGAGTGGGGGAGGGGAAACGGGAGAGGGGGAGGAGTGGGGGAGGGGGAAGGGGAGGGGGAGGAGTGGGGGAGGGGGAAGGAGAGAGGGGGGATTGGGGGAGGGGGGATGGAAGGGGGAGGAGTGGGGGAGGGGGGAGGAGTGAGGGGATAACCTGTGAGGCTCCTGAAATAAGTCTGCCAGCTCGAACAGCTCCTCCTGCTGGGGAAGGGAGGGAGAGGGAGGGGGGGAGGAGGGGGAGACGGAGGAGAGGGGGAGACGGGTGAGAAGTGGTGGGTGTTAAAAAAAAGGGGGTGGAAATGGAATATTGGGTTAAATGGAGCATATGGGCCACCCTACCTGCTCGCAGTGGCCCCCGCACAACCCTTTACTCTTCTCCCCTCTCCCCCCCCCCCCCCCCCCTCCCTCCTCCTTCTCCCCCACCTCCTCTAAAAGCTCCAAGAGCGCCCGCCCCCCGTGCGTACCTGCGACGCGCTCTCCCCCGCCACATGGTTAAACGTGAACTGCTGTCGCTCGCCTTCCCTGTCCGCCCCGCCTGCCATACCCGCTCGCCTTCCCTGTCCGGGGTCGCGAGAATGAGTGAAGTGGGCGTGACCTCTGTCACACACTGCGCCTCGGAGCCTGTGAGCGGACCCACCCTCACGATCACCTGATGATGCGTGGTTGGGGTCGGGGGAGAGAGACGAAACAGGATGTAACAGTGTGGCAGCCGAGTGCAGCCAAGTACAGTGCAGGTGGGCGGAAGTCAAGCGCCACCTCACCAACTGTTCGTATTGGTCAAACGCCTCAACTGGGCGACCAGATTCTGACGCGCAGCCCAAGTCAATCCCACGCACGAAAATAACGAAACGCAGAACACCGAAGTTCCGACCCCTCGCCGACTTCGCCAACCACACCGACGAAGTTACAGCCTTATAATCAACTCGTCGACCAATCCCGCATCGCAATCAATCTCTGAATTTCACGGCAAGGTTCATTTCAAGGGGTAGAGTTACCAATAAGAAATTCAGAGTGTCGCGACTTGGTAGTGCGACTCGATTTGTGAATGCATCCTATAAAATTGTGTGTGAAATTTGTTGAAGTCATATTGTAATTTCCAGAGAATTCCAGAGAGCATCTTGTACCCGTTACTCAAGCCTACTCAAGCCTACTAAGGCTGATACCTCCCTGCCAAGAACGTTTCACAGGAGATAAAAGATTTAGAAATGACTGTGTGGGGGAAGAGGGGGGGCGGTCCTGCACCGCACGCTGCGCCTCGAAGCACCCACCAGCTCTGAGTTCTTACTGTGGTGTGGCGGTCGCACCACACAATCACGTGGCGGTCGCACCACACAATCACCAAGCGATGAGTGGTTGGGGGGAGCGAGGAGTAACGGAGGTGGGGAGGGGAGGAGAAGAGAGTGAGCAGGTTCGTACAGAAACGGAGGGGCCTCCGCCGCCTTTCCTTCCCTACATATCCATACAAGCGCAATCCGGGGACTGCATTCGGTAGCCGCATGGGAATGGAGCGGAATGCGTCCTAGTGGGGCCAACCGGAGTTTTGAGCACTCGGGATCACAATTTTCATATGCGCGTTTTAGGCACTCGGGGTCCGCGCACCGGGATCTGTAAGTCGTCTGACTTGGCATGTGTCCTGGTGGCGGCACTCGGAGTCTTGGCCGCTCTCGTGCGACCTGCTGGGGGGAAGGGGAGAGGGAATACGCACGGGAGGAAGGCGAATGAGGAGGGACTTACGTTGACCACAAAAGTAGCTAGAGCAAACGATGAAACAAGGCAGGAGAGAGATCATTGAGCGCCAAAGATCATTGAGATCATTGAGTACCTCGTCCACGTTCATCAGGGGTATGACCCGCCACTCACACGATTGCAGTGTAGTAACCACGTTGCCTGTCAGCCGCGCAAGCACTGCTCTTGGCGTGCCTCGCTGCGGCGACGACGCTTCGCCGCGCTGCGAAGCCCCGCCTTGCAGCAACCACGGGGGACGGCTGAGAGTATGATCCACCTTGCCAGGTGTGCCTTGCAGTCCTGCGGATTTGTGTCGGCCTGCAGATGCGGGCGGTGGAGGAACGTTCTCCTCCATTCTGAACCTGGGAGAGAAAGCATCAAGCAGGGAATAAAAAAAGGACAAGAAATAACGAGGAGAGTGGGGAACTTGTCAGTAGCGGACAGGTGGGCTGTGAAGGCCTTACTTCCATCAACTCTTGTTGTTATTAGGACAACGAGACGAACTCCATGTTTTCTGGTCAAATGATGCTTCAAATGTCGCTGCTTGATGTTGCTTTACTGGACGTGGGTGTTCCAGCTGACTGCGAATTTCATCCACAGTGCATCCACAGTGTTGATTTCTTTCAATGAGCTGCACGTCCAGTAAAAGAAGTTGGTTGAAATCACTTTTGAGAAATTTCAAAAGTGATTCCAGTAAAAAAAAGCTGGTTCTCTTAGATTCTATGACGAAGCCAGCGGAAGAACTGCATAGCATCTCCTCACCTTAACAGTGTGATTATCGGCGTCCTTAGATTTCAATCAACATGGAGCGGCCGACGGCACTAGATCTCAACAGGCAATCAGGCCAGCGAGATCATGCTGGCAACTGCAGTCAGTCATCTAAAGCAGGATTCTATGCCACTAGCCTGAAAGTCTTAGAATCGTTTAACTCGAGTCATTTCTATCAGTCTGGCCAGCAGATACCTCGGATGTCACGAGATGGAGGCGCTGGCTTTGGAGCTTTCGCGGGGTAGGGTGGACGTCGTTATGGAATTGAATGGATTGGTAGATTTTCGCCAACTACCCTGGCGCATCGGAATTCCCAAGGATGATCGTTTCAGTATCCGACTTGTCGGACGCTTCCGAACTGGTGGAACAAGCTCACGGCACTTGGGCTTGTTCAAGTTGTTTCTGGCTGAGAATTCTTCCCAAGAGAATTTCCTTAGAAGCATGGAAGAACAAACAGAAAGGGAAACAGCAACTACCACTCTAATTCCTACGAATGCATTTTTATATGTACAGTACATTTACAATTCAGACATGCGGCTCGGAATGTCGATTCGGGTGGCCAGCCCCAACATCGAGCCGCATTCCATATTTCTACTCACATTTGTACACCTCACTGCACCCACACACGTGTTACATTTCTATTCCTCCAAGTCTGGACTTTCGCCACCTGTCCCACGCGGAAGTCCCCCCAAGTCAGTCAAGGCACGAAACCTCAGTTTCGCCCTTCTCACGTGGGTCCCCCACGTCCTGCTCACTTCCGCCCCTTTGCTGCCCACGTTCGCAGTTGCACGCTGCTGCTGCATGCTTTTGCCTCCCGTGCGCTTCACGCTGCCCCCAGTGCAGACCCCACTCGTTACAACTGGGAGGTAGAGTATCGGTTTTTAGGGTTCTCGCCATGCACTTTCATCGCGGAAAAACCACGTGAGGAACGTGACTTTCTCGTCACTTATGCGTGACATTTTTGCGTCACGAAATAGTCATGGACAGAAGTACCAATAAGTGATCATCACGAAGAAGTCACGGAAATGTGACGTTAAACTTACGAAGTTCTGTACAGAAAGTCAGTGAAATGTGACTGGCGAAGTGATGTTCTCATCACTTTCTTGTTTCCATGCCAGGTCACCCAAACGTGTTCGCAGCTAACAGCTTCGCGTCACTGGGATGTTGCCGCACCGTGACTTTTTGGTCACAGATCTGTCCCAAGCCCATGTGACTGTCACATTTTCTGGGATGTTTTGCATGACTTCGAAGACTTTTTATGTGCTTTTCCGTAGAGAAACCTACGGGAGCCAAAAATCATGGGCGATCCAATTTTCCGCAATGTTCTCATTCCCCTACCTTTTCAGCTTCCCGTTTACTACGAAACCCTTCAGGCGTGAGGGTTCGTCCTCCGATGTAAATGCCGAGTACAACTTGAAGGCAGATTCGCGGCGTGGTGTCTTTTGGCAGGCGCCGCGGACTATATAATCTGGTGTGACCGCTGCTCACAGACCTTCGACAACATCGCTTACGTAAACTCTTCACCGCACTCTGGCACTCTTTCGTCTGGCCTGCTTGATCTACTTTTTGTGCTGAAGTAATCTGTAAAAAAAATGCAAACGAGCCATTTCCAACTGTGTCAAATTCGCCTCTGTTCACAAGTTTCTGTTTTTCGACCGTGCTGGTTTCCCCCCAATACACCCAACACGACAGTCGACCTGGCTGCTCAACGACGATCATCCACCTTACTCATGAATTGCTAAACGTGAGCCAACACATAGCATGTGGAACACCTTCTGCTTGCGGACTTAGGTTCGGCTAAATAGCGCTGTTTAGTGTAGGCCCTCGTGACTCGGGCGACTAGCACCTTTGCCTTAGCCTAAAAATTGACTTCAAACTTGATTATACAGCACGCTGACCCAGTTTTGGGGTAATGCTTCAAAACAAACTAGAAACTTCCATCCCTGATTCAATGCCAAGAGCGCACCTCAAAGTACAAAAAAAAAGTCATTTGAATTTCCATGAACCCACGTTCGTTCAGCCTTTTAGTTTTCTTCATGATTTGACTGCAGCACAAAAAGTTTGCATACATAAAATCAGGACAGCGTTATTGGGAACATAATCAGGACATCCACCTGCTAAACATTCTGGAGCTACCTCATCTGCATTCACGTCTACACTAATCAAGTAGCCACACTCTTCCTTGCCGCTGTGAGGATCTTATGTAGCTCCAGGGCTTCAGGCGGCGACCCTTTCTTCGCAGCCATCTTCGCCACCGGAAACAATGCCCCGTCATTCAAAAGAAAAGCAGGCGTAACCACTCCGGTGGTAACCAGATGGTAAAGCGCAAACAGTGCTTCTTCCTGTGCACGCTCCGACTCACTCTCCAGCACATCCAGCATCACCAGCGTCCCCTCCACCTCTAGCAAAGCCGCCTGCCCCTCCTTAGACTTCACCAGATTCGCCAACACAGCCATGGCCTTCTCTTCCACTCCTGGCCGCTTGTCCGACAATGAATCCACCAGCACGCTCACCCCGCCCTCCCGGATTATCTCATCGGCACAGTCCGGGTCGTCTGAGAGGGCAAAGAGCGCGAGAGCCGCGTCTTTCCGGCACCGAGCGGCTTCCAACTTGAGCAGCTTGAGCAACGGAGGGATGCCGCCGCATCGGAGGATCTTGTTCCGGTACCTGCTGCTCCGCCTCCTCCTCCCGTCCTCATCCTCCTTATCATCATCGTCACACGTAGCAATCGCAAACAGCGCCGCCGCTGCGTTTGATCGCACCGACTCCGAAAACTTGCTCGCTGCACCGTCGCCATCGCCTTTCGGGCTGCCCCCATCCCTCCCTCCGCCCTTTTTTCTGCACTTGCCATCCACTAAATCCACAAGAACCCCCACGCCCCCAACATCCACCACCTCTAGCGCCCCATCGTAAGACTGTGTCAGCTGGAGAATCACCGACACAGCACAGTCTAGCACAGCCGGAGCATCCATCCGGCTCTCTCTGCTCGCCCCTTCACTCCCAGATGCTACTAACGCGGATGAATCCTCCACAAGATCCACCAGAATCGGCACCCCGTCGGACCGGTTCACCACGCGCCGCCGCGCCTCGGAACTTTCTTTCAGGGCAGACCGGAGCCGCATGATCCCTTCTTCCCGGTCAGCCGACGAGCCGCGATCGATGGCATCTAGCATGTCGTCTATCGTCCGCATCGATCGAGACGAAGACGAAAGGGACGGTCTAGGCGACGACGATGACGTGGACGAAGGGGAGGACAGCGGCGGGCGAGACCTAGGCGAACTAGCCGTGATGCTGCTGCTACCAGTCCTGTCCTTCCCACTGCCCGTCGCCCCACCGGCACCCCCTAGCCGCGTTTTATCCCTGGTTGGCCGCGGCTGGGGCGGCAGGTTCCTCGCACCAGCCCCACTACTGGGCTTTCTAAGAGGCGACGATGCAGCGCCAGAGCTTCTGTGCCTGGACCCGCTTCCCTCCTTGGCTCCTGCGGAAGAAGGGTTGGCAGGGGAGGTGAGCTGGCGCTCGAATGAGGTGCTACCGGCTGGGGACCCTGGCGGTTCCTGCCCTTCTCTCGTCCGCTCGTCCAGACTCATGGTTCTCCTGTCCGCCCATGCTTCCGGACCCGCTCCTCCTTCCCCCTCAGCTGCGCCTGCTGCGTCCGCGCCTTCACCTTCCGCCTTCCCCGCTCCCCCCTCTGCGTCTCCTGCACCCCCTTCCGCTGCTGCTGTTGCTGCTGCTCCTGTTGCTCCTTCCCCTGCTGCTGTACCCTCCCCTGCTCCTGCTGCTGCTTCGCCTGTGCCCTCCACAGCAGCCGATTCTTTCCCCGAAGCATCCGCTACCTCCCCTAGTTTCTCCTCTGCCTCCTTTCTCCCCGTTCTCCCCACGTCCTTATCGCCTCTCCCCGCTACTCGTGGCCCAGCCCTTCCCACGCCTCTCCCGCCAGCTCTCCCCCCTCGGTCCGAAGGAGGCCGCCTAGGTGAATACGTACTGTCATCATCCCTTCCCCTGCCCCTCTCCCTCTCCCCTCCTCTCTCCCTGTCCCTCTCTCCATACCTGTCCCTGTCCCTATCCCTATCCCTCTCTCGATCCCTGTCTCTATCCGGTTCCCTCGCTCTATCTCTGTCCCGGTCCCTGTCTCGATCTCTGTCCCTGTACCCATCCCTGTTTCGATCGCGGTGTCCTTCCCCGTCCCTATCCGAATCGCTATCCCGCTCCCGGTCTCTATAACCATCCTTCCCTCGTTCCCGCGCGGTGCCTCCTCCCGCGCTTCCCCCTCCCCCTCTCCCCCGTTGCCGCGACAACAACTGCGCAGCCACACGCCCTGTGCGCGCTCTCCGCTCCTCCTCACTCCGCGGCTGCAAACGACTACCTCCGGCGGCCCCCCTTCCCCCGCCACTCCCCCTGCCTCGCCGGTCCTCGTCCTCGCTATAAGCCTCTCGCGTACGCGATCCAGTCCGCCCACTCCCCCTATCAGACCCGCTATCCTCGTCCCTCTCTCGATCCCCCGGTCCTCTCCGCCTCCCGCTCCCCGCGCTAGCGGACCGCTGCACATACGGCTGAGATTCGTCCGCGTCATCATAGTCATCTCCAGGTCGGCCCCGTCTCGGGCCATCCCTGTAACCCCCTGCGCCCCCCTCGCCTCTCCTTCCCGGGCTGCCGCGGCTACAGGACGTCGGAGACGGTTCCTCGTCTTGCGCGCGAACTTGCGCGGCAAGTTCCTCCTCGAGGCCTTCCGGGAGAGGCGCAAGATCGAGGTCGTGCTTCTCGCACCATTCGGCGATGAGGGCTTTAAGAGCCACGTTGGGGAAGAACTCGGTGTGGTCGAGTTTCATGCCGCTTTTCGGGCAGACGCGCTGGCCTGCTGCGAACCATACCTTGATCAGATCGCGCTCGTAGCTAAGTCCCGACGCGATGATCACCGGATCGCGCATTATGTCATCGGATAAGGGACAGATGAACTCGAGGGGAACCTCAAGATCGTCCTCCTCTTCAGCTTCAGCCATTGTTATAATAGACACTGGATACTATATGGTAATAATAGCGAACTTAGATGCGGTTCCAACCTGCAGGATTAGAAGTTAGAACGAATACACCTTGATCGGAACGACGTGTTAGGGAACCTGAAAATGAGTAAGGTACCACGACTACCAAAAACTAGGGTTATGTTGGGGAAAACATAACTTAGGCGGGCAACAACTGACGTAACCACTCGATAGCAGTTTCTAGCCGAGACATGCAGCAATAGTATCGAATAAATTCCCGCGCTCAGAAATAAAGTACTAGTTTCGCCTTTAGCGACAGCTCATCGTCTGAGTACTAACAAGCAAGCTAAGCTTTTCAGGCGAGCCGTTGGTCCACAAATGGTTGGTTGTTGCAGCATTGCCTTCAAGATTGCCGAAGCCCCTTGTCGGCTTGGCGGAAAATAGCGGGTGGGGGCAGTGACAAAGCGGGACGCCCAGCGTGGCTCTACAGCGCTGAGGGGTTGCCTGGCGGAGTGTTGGTCCAACAGGTGGCGCGAGGTTTCCCCCACCGGTCCATTTCCCCGTCCCTCTCCCGCCTCAACCAGCCCGCGGCAGTGCGTTGCGGAGACACACATGCTGGCGGAACTTCGTGCGGAGATACCTTGGTTTGCAGGAAGATTCGAGGGTGAGGGAAAGTGGGAGTCCATTGGAGAGAGCCGTTGAGGTCAATCAAATGTCTTGCGCACTTTTCGGTTTGTCAGAAATGCTGGTTACCGTAATGAGCTCGCCACTCGTTTGCACACTTCTGGCCCAAGAGAATGACTCGCCACTGCTCAATGATTCGGCGAGATCCTATCGCATGCATGGAACTGCCAAGCGGCGAACCTAGACTACTGTTACCAGTGCAGCTAAATGAGCGAACTCAAATTGCACTACATATACCAGTATCATGGTTTTGTTTGAGATCAAAAAGAAAAACAGGGTCACCGTTGTTGACAAACGCTTAGCAAATTAACATAAAGAAAGTTCTCAGAAATAAAGTAATGATAAGCTGATATGCTCAAAAGTTGGACGCGAAAATTGATCAAACTCACGCTGTTGTGATGGATAAAACTTTCATCAGAACTGAAAGAGCCACATAGTAAACGGAGGCGAGGAACTCACAAACCTATGCATCACTAATATTCCCATGCCTCGCCTTTCACCAGAAGCAAGGGCGATGTACATGAGGTTGCGGAGCCACATGTCCATCCCACGTGGCATGCATTTCCCAATCCGTGAATATGTGCACTGTACAGTGAATGACTCACCAAACTGAATTTGCGGCTGGCTTCCCACAACCTTTCGTCTCCACACACATCCCAGCCAATCCCAAGCGTCACTTGGGCGGCTCGGTTCCGGCGATGTCTCCACTAGAGGAATGCTGGTGCTTCATAAATTTCAATTGTGCATGTTGCAAATTTGCATTTTAGTTGTTCAAGATTCTCTACCCGTGCTTACGAAACGCATAGCCACCAAAATCCACTAGGCGCTAATAACCTCCTTATAATATGGCTGCCCTCAGCTCGTCTTCTCTAGTCGCTCAGAGTTCCGCCAGCATCTTGGGCGAATGCACCTCAGCTTCTTCCTCCCCGTCGCACATACCCACGTTCTCTGGTCTCCGCACGCTCGTCCCAGCGAAAGTAATTGCCGCAAAAAGCAAGTGCACCAGCGGCTGCAAATGCTCGCGCCACCCCGCCATCCGCGCTGCGGCAGTTTCCGAAAACAGCAGCTCGCACGAAACCAGCGATGTCGCCACGTCATCGCAAGCGCTGTTCGCCAGCGTGGCACAGACTTCCGCTCCGTCGGCTGAACCTCCCTCTTCCTCTAGCATCGTCCCTGCGGTCCTCGCTGCAGGCCTCCTTGGAGGAGCTACGTTTGCGCTCCTTTCAAAGAAAGCCGCACCACCCGCGAAACCTGCCCCTCCTACTCCGGCCGTCGTTGCCGCTGCTGCTGTCACGTCCAGCTACACAAATGGCGCGGCGACTAAATTCGTGAAGCGAGCGGCGCCCGCCGCGCTGGCGACGATGGCGGCGACGTTTCCGAACGCGATGCAGGAGGAGACGTTTATGAAAGCGGTGGCAGAGGAGCTCCGCAACCTTGGATTTAACCGCGACAATTGCATCGCGCTCGTCAACACATGTCGCGACGAAGTCTGCCGCCCGATTGTGAACCTCATCGACAAGGAGTTCGGCATGTCGTTCAACATCGCGGGTCTGGGAGGACTCGTGAGTTGCGGCAAGACGGGGTTCAAGGCGGCTATGTCGCATTCGCCCGAGTTCCCGTGCGAAACCGACGGCAAGCCACGCGAAAGATGTAAGTCCATTCTGACTCAATAGAAGTGAACTTTTCGAAACGAAAGTATGAAATAGTAAAATACAAGGTCAATACAAGTAGAATTGGTGAAATTGACGTCTCCTTTTCTGATGTCAATCAAACGATTATACCATACCCGTTTAACCCCCGGCCCCCCTGCTACAGACATTTTTTTCGGGTTCCCCCACGTTTCGATCGGTGAGTCGGGCGAGGTGGGGTCTCTACTGCGGCGCGGACGCGGCAAGCCGTCGAGCGCGTGCGGAGCGCTGATTGCCATCAAGGGCGACATCCAGGCAGGCGGGCCCGTAGAAGAAGACCCGGATAATGCCGAGTATGTCTCTCTCAAAAAGAAGATAATTGCGCGTGTGAAGCCGTCCTCGACTCTTTCCGACGGCCCGTCGCTAGTCCAAGTCACCAGGGCCGCGCTCCAAGCAATTACTGATGACCTGGAGCATCTCATCTCCCTTACTGTGGATACCATTACTGCCGACTACGTCGTTATCACTGGCGTGCAGATTCACTCTGGCGATCAGGTTAGTACCCCTCTGAAGCACGCACACTCAACAATTATGCCGGGACAAAAAAACCTTCGCTTGAAGCTTTCTTTTTTTTAACATCGAAATTGATCCAAACCTCGTGCCCCTCTATGCAGATCCCCGGCGAGCCCTTCCGCATTGAGCGCACCTGCGACTACATTGCGCCCAATGCCATGTACGCCGTGATTCGCGGAGAGAAGCACATTCTTCACACGGAGATTAACCAAATCACCGCCATTAAGTCCGTGCCTGCCGACTTATTCTCCAACAACTAGTTGCACCGACTCTTGAACGACTTCAGCTGTTTCTGCCATTTTTTCGCGTCCTGAAAAAGCCAAGGATGCGTTGACTCTTTGACCCCTCGTGAGCACTTCGGGCTCGACGTTGTTCAATGTATGTTTATGTGCCAGTGAATAAGAACCATCTTTTCCATGACAATGGAATGTTCACGTTTCTCAAGAAAAGCGCAACGTTATTGATAGTCTCTGTTAATAAATTCCTCGTCGTTGATACAAATGTCCATCGGTAGCAGCGCAGCACACAGCAATGGCGGAAATAATTTCCTCAGGGTCGAGAAGCTCAGGCTGAATGAAGCCCATTAGACTCGGACTCCAAAATCAATGTTGAAAGTTGGTCCTAAGTTCTGGCAGTATTTTGCTTGGTATTGCACTTTCAGTTCGAGCCGCGTTGATGCTGGCAATGCAAGTCCTGCCCAGAAGGGTCATCTGACAAAGATCATAGGAAAATCTGGCGCCAAATTTGGAGTAGGTTCAGCATCCACATCGGGGTTGCCACCTCGGATTCTCTGAGGTGTATTTCTATATGGATGACGAGGCTTCGACCCAGTAACATCTCCAACTCTTACAGCCGCAAAATTGTGGACAGCTGGATCTCCACGTACGCAAACCTCTAGAAACGCGAAAGTGGCAACCACAGCGACGATGATAATCGATCGAACTTAGGTGATGCCCGAATCCAAGGGCAGGTTCAGAGGGGCGTCGCTTGCTCGTTGATTGGCGGGCATCACAACCTGCACATCACCAAGCGCGCCGAACGTTCTGTATGCACACTGCCGTTTTCCGAGACTGAGTTCATAATTCCTGGTTTCATTCATTCATTCCTCCAACGCCCAAAATTAGCGCCATTGCACCACACAGCACAAGCCAAGACTTGTCTGTGGGCCTGGTCAGACTCTCCCCTCCCTGTCACCTACCCAAGCAAGCACCAAGGCGAGACAGAGGGATGAGCCTGACAGGGAAACTGTAAATGTTAAAGCTTTGGCCATTTCTTAATCATTAATCGCTCATTGATTCTTCCATCACTTCTCGTGCTTTGCAAAGCAGAACTTTCTCGCCAAGGCCTCCTTCGCCAGAACTTCAGCAGCCTCTTTCGCCTACCTAATCAGTTCGCAGGCTCGTAAGCTGCTGCCATGGCCACCATCAGCGCTCACACATTGACCGCGAGGAATCCTGCGGCTCTGCTCGGTCAAACAGAGTCAATGACTTCTTCCAACGCCATCCCCTCCTTCTCCGGCCTGCGCGCCGCCGCCCCCGTGAAGGCCGCCGCCAAGGCCGCCTGTGCGCGCAACTGCAAGTGCTCACGCCACTCAGTCGTACGCGCCGCCGCCGCGTCCGCGAACAACGACGCCGAGGCTTCGTCGCAGACCCTCTTCGCCAGCGTGACGCAGGCGGCGCCTGCTCCCGCGGCGGAGAACAGCCTCCTCGTCCCCGGAATCATCGGCGCCGGCGTCGTCGGCGGGGCCGCGCTCGCGCTCCTGACCAACAAGTCCGCCGCGCCGGTCGCGGCGGCTCCCGCTGCCGCCGCCAGCTCCGCGCCCGTGGCGCACGCGAGGCGCGCCGCGGCGCCCGCGCTGGCGACGATGGCTGCGACGTTCCCGAACGCGATGCAGGAGGAGACGTTCATGCACGCGGTTGCGGAGGAGCTCCGCAATCTCGGCTTCCGCCGCGACAACTGCATTGCGCTCGTCAACACTTGCCGCGACGAAGTCTGCCGCCCGATTGTTAACCTTGTCGATAGGGAGTTCGGGTTGAGCTTCAATATCGCCGGGCTCGGCGGGCTCGTGATTTGCGGCAAGACCGGGTTCAAGGCTGCCATGTCGCACTCGCCCGAGTTCCCGTGCGAGAAGGACGGCAAGCCCCGCGAACGATGTAAGTGATAGACATTTTTTTCCGGCATTTGATACTGAAAGAGGTTCTATTGGCTCTTATCTTAAGTCTTGTAGCTTCCTAAACCTTCTGGTTTTTTTTTTCTCTCTCTCTCATTCTCTTTCTCTCGTTCTCTCGTTCTCTCTCTCTCTCTCTCTCTCTCTCTCTCTCTCTCTCTCTCTCTCTCTCTCTCTCTCTCTCTCTCTCCCCCTCTCTCTCTCTCTCTCCCCCTCTCTCTCTCTCTCCCTCTCCCTCTCTCTCCCCCCCCCCTCTCTCTCTCTCTCTCTCTCTCTCTCTCTCTCTCTCTCCCTCTCTCTCTCTCTCTCTCTCTCTCTCTCCCCCTCTCTCTCTCCCCCTCTCTCTCCCTCTCTCTCTCTCCCCCTCTCTCTCTCCCTCCCTTTTAATTTATATTCTTCTGTCGTTTCTTTCCTAACGTCTTCAATCGTCCACGCGATACGCTCCATCTTTAGCTCATAGCATTGCCCCACAATTTCTCGTCTAATTCGTCTCGTTACATTCCACCCCACCCGTAACAGACATTTTCTTCGGATTCCCCCACGTGTCCATCGGCGAGTCGGGCGAGGTCGGTTCTCTGCTGCGTCGCGGGCGCGGTAAGCCGTCGAGCGCGTGCGGAGCGCTGATCGCGATCAAGGGCGACATCAAGGCGGGCGGGCCCGTAGTGGAGGACCCCGATAACGCCGAGTACGTGGAGCTCAAGAAGAAGGTCATCGCGCGCGTCAAGCCGTCCGGCCCCGACGGCCCTTCTCTGGTGCAGGTGAGATGCAGGGGATGATGATGGGAGAAATGGGGAAGTGGGAATGGGGAGGAGCTATGGCATGGTTATTGGTAGAGTTGCTGAGTCGAATTCCTGCTTTCTTTTTGCTTGAGCGACGGTGAGGCATAAGAGCACAGTGAATGCGCTTTGGGCCAGCGTGAATTGAGTGGCCAACATACATAATCACTCACTAGTAAAATTTCACAGAGATTTCAGCTCAAAATAGTTGCAGCAATAGTAATCAGCTTTCTCATCCGCTCATCCCTCATTTCTCAATTTCTTTTACTCCTCCCTGCAGGTTACCAAGGCCGCCCTGCAGGCGATCACCGATGACTTGGAGCATCTGATCTCGCTGACTGTGGACCCTGCTACTGCTGACTATGCTGTCATCACTGGCGTGCAAATTCACTCCGGCAACCAGGTGGGTGCTGATTTCATGCTTCACTAAATATTTTTAACGACACATTGCACTATCCTTTCTCGTCCCTACTCCTTCAGCCTCCTCACCCTGTCGTGAATTATATATATGTCCCTCAATAACCTCGACCTTGGTTTCCTCCACCTTTTGCCTTGCGTTCTCCCATAGATCCCCGGCGAGCCCTTCCGCATCGAGCGCACCTGCGACTACATCGCGCCGAATGCCATGTATGCCGTGATTCGCGGCGAGAAGCACATTCTGCACACGGAGATCAACCAAATTACCGCCATCAAGTCCGTGCCTGCTAACAAGTTCGCTTAGGACTGTAGCGGTTTCCTCTTTCCTCCTTTTTGTACTTAGTGCTCCTAGTATGTATTGATTATTTGTTAACTCTTAAGATGCAAATTCAAAACTCACTGCCTGAACATTCCACCGTCCCACCTGAAAGAAGTACATCAGGTAGTGTCATCTTTGAATAAGCATGACGTTGAGGTGAAGATTACGGGTCTTAGCTAATTTACGTAGCTGCTTCTGTTGCTGCATGGCTGGATGGAATTATGATTTGCCCTCATGGGTTGTTGGCCCAGTTAATCGAACTAGAAGCATGCCCTACACTAAATAAACCGTATTCTCCCGGACATAGCACCCTAGGGTATAGCTAAAAATAGAGGGAAAAAATGGGGGGGGTCTCCTCATAGGAAAAAAAATACATAATACCCGGGTCTTTACATATATTATAATTTTTAAACACATTGATGTTTTTCAAAATTGTGTATTGTGAAAGCGAAGCTGCCTGTACCGAATATTTGGCAGCGTCGAAGCGCGCTAAACGCCCTTCTCCAACTACAAAAACCGTGGGTTGGAGTTCATTCCCTCCACCCACGCTTCTCGTTTTCCAACGGCTCAATCAACATCCCCACCACCCACCCCGGACCAACTACAAGACCACAGCTACTTGCATGTGTTTAAGAACGATGCATATGTTGTAATAAGCCAGTTGCAATGAGAACGATGCCAAATTATAAGGACAAGAAAACAAGCTTTCTCAATGGTATATTTTAGTGTTAATGTTTATTTAATTAGACAATGTGGGTGTTTTGATTTTCATTTTAACATCACTGTCTGAGGCCAGGGCCTCAGAAGTCAAGATTTTTACCCTGAATTCCTGAAGTTTGACCCTCGTTTTTTATCATGACCCTGATGCATCAGCCTTTTGTTTTTAAACGACCCTGATGTTTCAGTGTTTCTTAATTTCGAACTCTGATTTTTCAGTGTTTATATCGAGTGCGACCCTGAATCTGAAATTCCCGTCTTGCCTTTTCGCCGTGATTGGCGCCGTGACTTGCTACCTAGGCAGCCAACCACGGTACCTACAGTGCGTTTTCGCCATGATTGAGCCCATGAGCCATAACGATTGCCCAAATTCCTCGCTAAACAAAGTCCCTTGACGAGTACAGGAATAACTATCAATGTAACAGTGAATAACAACACTGACTGTTCAGCCTTTATATTTTTGTACACTGAAAAATCAGTGTTTTCAACACGACGACACTGAAAATCAGCGTTGGCCTTCAAGGGACACTGAGCGATCAGCGTGCCCCAAAACGAATCTGAGGGCCTGTCTGAGGCGCGAATGTGGGTTTCGGCCACGAGCTTCATCACCCCCACGAAAATGTCATGTGGCACCTCTCTTGCCACTCGCACTACCTCACAGCGAAGTAGTGCGAGGGGGGAAATCTCGGTAGATTGTAAGTGAATGTACCGCGAAATTTCATCCAGGGAGAAATTTTCGCGATATTCTTCAATATTGCAGCTACTCGTTAACGACTATTATAACGAATTCGTAAGAAAAGGGGGGTGTTATATAAAATCAGCAAAAAAGGGGGGTATACCGTCATCGCCCGGATATAAGACAGTGTTGAATAGTAGACAGGGGTTGTCTACTATACGGGTGTCTCTTATAAACAGGCAAGCCCTTTTATACGACACCTATTTGTGTGTACGAGATAAGACATATATGTCTTATAATCAGAACCGGGGTTTAGGGGTTTTCTTATAAACAGGGGGTGTCTTCTAAACGAGCCTACACTACTTTAGGGGGGTACATCCATACATTCATGAATCCCTACTTCTACCTAACCCCCCTCAGTAACCGCCTCCTCTGCAGCACTAGCAACAGGCTCTACGCCCAGGTCTGGCACTCGCCAGGCATGCCTAGCCGTCTCCCTTGGCTCGATCATGCAGTCAGCCTTGGCCGCCGCTCCGCGGTAGTTGGGGGTCTCCTGGTACAGCACCTCCAGGCCAGTTGCCACGGCCACCTCCCGCACGCCCTCCGCCTGCATCGCCTCCTCCTCCTCCTCCTCCTCCTCCTCCTCCTCCTCCTCCTCCTCCTCCTCCTCCTCCTCCTCCTCCTCCTCCTCCTCCTCTGGAGCCTTCCGAAGCAGGCGCGTGTTGTCGCCTGTGGTCCCCCCGAGGGACATGTCCTCGGAGACATCGGTGGTGCTCCTGGCGCGCAGGTGAGACATCACCAGGTGGTTCTCCGTTCCGTCCAGCTTGCTGGAGATCCCACAGTGGCGGAACGCGTCGATGATGATCTGCCTGGGGACTTGATCCCAAGCCTCCGCGATGCACTGCAGCACCACGGGGTGCGGAGGCCTCCGCAGGTTCCCTGCGGGTGGGACAGAGGACACGGCAGCGAGATGTTAACGATAAGGACACGAAACAGAGCAGGAATTTAAAATGAACAGCCAACTCACCCTTCTTCGTCTTCAGGTGAATCCCTTCACGCATGAACCACCTGGCGTAGCGCGCTCGCACGGCAGCCTTGAAGCACCGGTTGATGGAGACGTCCAGGGGTTGAATCTGGCTCGTACAACCCGCTGGAATGACTGCAGGGGTGATGCTGTGCGTGCGGTACGACTGAAGCATGGTCTGGGTGATGTGGCCGCGGTAGGAGTCCAACACCAGCATCGCACGCCTCGCGCTCTTGCCGCGCTGGGGGTTCAGATGGGGAAGCACCTCCTTGGACAGCCAGGTCTGCACAGCGCTCTCGTCCATCCACCCGTTGTCCTGTGCTTGGACCACGATTCCTGCCAGGCACACAAGGGACATACGGACATCAGCACAGTGGGGCACGCTCATGAGGCAGGGGCAAGGTTGAAGTCATGGCGCTTACCGTCCGGAATCTCACAGTTGGGGACGTTCTTCATCTTGAACCACACCCACGGCCGCAGCTTCTCCCCGGATGCAGTGCACGCGAGCATCACCGTCAAGCGCGTCTTCTGGTAGCCTGCAGTGCGGATTGGGACCGAGCGCGCGCCACGGTGCTCGATCGTCCTCTCGGCCGGCATCTCCACGAACAGTGGCGTCTGGTCCGCATTGTTGATACGGGCCAGGTCGATGTTGTGCCGCGCCCTGTTGATGCGCACGAACTTCCAGAAGGACTCGCAGTCCTTCGCGCACTCTGCAAATGGGACAGGAACAGAAGCGAGGGACGGTTAGACAACGAGCAAGGTAAGACATGCATACAATGGGCCGTGCGCGGCACGAACTCCTTATCTACGCACCTGCCAACAGACGTTGTCCGACCTTCGTCTTCACCCGCATCACCAGGTTCCAGCGGTCACGGAAACGCTGGCTCCAGTGAGAGCTCGCGTTCCAGTTCTTGCCGGGGTAATCTTCTTCATCCACTCGCGGCTCCACTTTTTGGTGTCCTTCACCGAGATGGCCACCCCGTTAGCGCGCTGAAGGCAAATGTAGCGGTACAACGCTGCCTCCATGTCGGGGTAGTGTGCGTGGCGGCCCCCCCCGTGCATCCGCTTGCGGCAGTTAGCCGCGCCCTTGTAGATGCCCGCAGCCGCCTCCGCGCACCAGCGTCTGATGCAGGCGACGCTCGCGGTTGACTCCAAGCTAGTCTTCTTCAAGGAGCCGAGCTCCTGATAGCGGCGCGCCCACTTAACCTTCTCACGCACGGTCCAGCCGCGGCGCTTCTTCGTAGTGTCTTTGCTGCGAGGGGAAGGTGGGCGGGTGTTGGGATTATGGAGGGTGGGGTCCTTCGGCGCCTCCTTCTCAGGGAACGTGGGAATCGGGCCGCCGCCGCCGCGTACTCATCGTCGCTGCCCAACGCCTCGTTGACGATGATGTCGTCAGGATTCGGCGCCTTCTTCGCCTTTTTCTTTGCCGCACCCTTGCTGGATCCAGGGTCTCCGTCGTCCTTGCGCTTCTTGTTGCTTGTGCGGCCACGAGCAGGGGCCTTAGCAGGGGACTTAGCAGGGGCTTCCACGACCTTTGCCTTTCCCTTCTCCGCAGCGGTGAGTAGGGGGCGACGCTCCTCCCCGGGACTGTCGTCGTCACAGAGCACCACGCGGGCGCGCTTCGTCGTGGACTGTAGGCGATGGCGCAGCCTCCGCTTCAGTAGCGGAACGTCGTCGTCTGTCCCAAGGCTCCACGGGTCGTCGTCGTCGCCCTCACCCTCAAATAAGACGGCATCCGCAGCCACCTTGTTCGCCTCCGCCACCGCGTCCGCATCCGCAGGCGCCTCTGTCTCGAGTTCCGCCGCCGCCTCGTCGGCAGCCTCATTCGCATCCACCGCCGCTTCCTGTGCCTCCGCGTTGTCACCGCCAGCATCTTCACCTCCGTCGTTGTCGGAATCACCAGCCCGCCACTCTTCCACCTCGTCGTCGCTCCCGACCGGCTGATTCCACCATTCGTCCTCCTCGATGTCGGCAGTACCAAATTCGTCGCCCGAAGCGCTGTCATCGTGGCCGTTCTCCGGCCAATCCTCCTCGGCGTCGTCGCCGTGTGCTTCGTCTCCGTCTTCCCCGTCACAGCTCGCACCGGAGGCGGCGGTAGGACTTCCCGCCTTGCTCGCGTTCTTCGCCATGGCTACGCGGATGTCATCGCCGGGCGAGTTAATTCGCCCGTAGTTATTCACCTGCACGTGAGGACGAGGTGAGGACTTGCCTAGGGGTACCTTGCTGCGCATGGTTAGAGAGCCTGCCGAGAGCAAGGTTGAGGTGAGAATTCAACCTCCATGAGCACCAAATGAAGTGAAAGCCCGGCTACCCCCCCCAGCCAGAGTGCCCCATCCACAGGTGCCGAGCCGCTCCTCTACGAGGCATCTCCTCGTAGAGGACAGCCTGACGCTGCCAACGTGCTGCCAGCAGCGTTCTGGAAGCTGCCATGCGCTGCTGGCAGCAAAACGACGCTGGCAGCATCATTAGATGCTGCCAGCACAGAGGAATCTTGCCAGCGGTGGCAGCTTTGCTGCATCACCACCGAGGTCGGCCTGTTTCAATGAATCTGGTCCCTGGGTGTTTTCTACACACTTTGCAAGTGTTACAGTCAACTTAAATTTTTTTCCATTTATAAGAATTATAAGACACCCTAAACCATCCCGTTTACAAGATAACTCAAGCATTTTTGCCCGTGTACGAGATAAGACATATATGTCTTATATCCGGGCGATGACGGTAGTAGAAACGAGGTCTATCATAACACCCACCCCGCACAAGCTACCCGGGGGTGTACAATTACGGGGGGGTGTTTTGTCCGGGAGAATACGGAACTCTTCTTTGCCAAACAAAGCACAAGATCTCTATAGAGCAGTCAATTCAGCTAACATACTTTACTGTGGTGCTACAGCTACCGTACGAGCCCAACTTGCATGCCAAAGTTTTTTATTTCACAATGGAAAGAAATCAGCCATACAAAAGATCATTAACCAGAGTTATTGGCAAGTCATGAATAGGAGGGATCGGGGCTCTCCGACTCAGCAGCATGGCGTCCTGCTCACTAGGCGATCGGTATAGTCTCATCCCATGATATATAGTGGAACCAGACTGCCGCAACACCCCTTCCTCCTCATTATTCTTATATGCACCAAGACTATTGTGAGTAGATACTGTAGACGGTGGGTCCAAGGATGGTGGAAGTGGTGATGGGGTATGGGAGGGTTGATGGGGTGGCTGCGAGACTGGGTGGAAGATGGTGTGGGTCATAGGGGGCTGCATCCGTGCGAAATTGTCTGATGTGGTGATGGAGGCCATGGGTAGTCAAAGGGGGAAAGGGAGGAGAGGGGGAAGGTTCAGGTAGTTCAGGGGGAAGTTGGGTTGGATTGGAGGGGAGCAGAGTAGGGGTGGGTAAACAACAATTGTACCGAGAAGGAACAGAAGAGTTGAGGGCAAAACACAGAAAGAAGGAACTCACCATAGTCAACCAGAAGGCAAATAACACATGCATGCAGACGTTAAATGTTTAATAAATCAGGTGCCAGGAAATAATACATACATCTTTGCATGACAATTGGTGCGTGGGGGTCGAGGATATGAAGAGTGCGGAAGCAGATTGTGAGCAAGGAGGGTGGGGAACATAGAGGTTACCATGGATGGAGAATTTGGAAGAGGCGGGCTGCACGGAAAGACGGTTGACACCCGAGTAGAGCAGGAGGGCGCAGACGACGGTGACTATAAGGAACGCTGGGATGACAGACGCCCAGTGCCTGCAGTCGCGTGCAGAATAATATAAGTGCGGGTGGGAGGGGAAGGGGTATAAGGGGGAGCTAGGGATGGAGTGGGGGGGGATGGAGAGTGGTGGGGAGGGGTGGGGGGAGAGAAGTGGGGAAGTAGAAGAGACGAGATGGAGAAAGAGAGGGAGGGGGAGCAGGAGATAAGGATGCAGGCGGGATGCAGGCGAGCAGAAGTGAACAGTGAGAAAGCAGCATGCATGATGTTAGGACTGCAGCATTAATGGAGATTGATTTCGCAAGAGGAAAAGTGGGAAGGAATCTAACAGACACACAGGATTAGCGAAAACGAGGTCAGGAAGAACACACGATTGACTACAAGAGTAAACTGGAGAGGACAGGTCACAAAGCACGGTACAACAGAAAGCACTTACTTTGAGGGATAGTATGACAGGCCGATGGAGAGAAGAACACTGTTTGGAACATACGCCCACACGAGGTAAAGACCTGCACGCACGCACGCACGCACGCACACATGCATGCAGGGGTGATGGAGACAAAGTTTTTCTTCGAAGGCCTCCAACAACGGGAGAAAAACGTTGTCACGAACGGACAGACGCCCCAGAGGAGCATATAACCACACGAGGTAAGGGCCTGCACCCACGCATGGATGGATGCAGGGGTGATGGAAACAGAGTATACTTCAGGGGTTTCGCCTCAACACCGGGGAGAAGAACTCTGTGACGAACGGACAGATGCCCCAGAGGAGCATATAACCACACGATGACTAAAGGCCTTCACGCACGCATGCATCCATCCTGCAGGGGTGATGGAAACAGGAGGTTTCGCGTCATCATGTGACACAAAGCGGTCAGATGCCCCAGCGGAACATACACCCACACGATGTAAAAGTCAGCGAGAGTCAGCTCAGGGGCATCTGATTGTGACGAGATGGCTGCTGAGAGAGACGCGAGAGGCGGGTTTAAAAAGAAATAGACATAATACGGTTCAAGGGTCGAACCAGATGAAGAAATGACTCTTGAGTTCGCTCAGAGAGGAGGGATGGAAACGACAGATGATTCACTCAGGAAACGATGGATGGTTCACTCACAGCAAGAAACAATGACAACGATCGATCCGACGAAGGCCTGAACCTCGCCGGCTCTCGTGCTGCTCTGCATCTCCTTCGCTTCTTCGAAAGACGCCATAAGTTCCAGTCGATATTCAATTGCTATCTCAAACCCTCAATCGACAGCGATCTCGGAAACATACGCCCGAGAGTGATGCAAGACCTATGTAATGAATGTGAATTCATTACTGTAGAGGCTACTCCTAGCGAGGACAGCCCGAACTGTTCGCGTCAGTTTGGGTTCGGCCTACACTTCGGCCCGAACCACTTCCGAGTCGCCCCGCACCAATCGCGACACTTCCAACCCATCCACGTCCCGAGGTCCTCGCCTGCCACGGTTTCGACCCTATAAATGCTTGCTTCTTTATCATTCTCGTCATTCTGTAGTTCTGATCCTTTTTATAAAGTCTTCCGCGCACTTTTCCTAGTACAACTCATAACACTTGGTATCAGAGCCTAAGTTCCTAGGTTCCCCGTTTTTTAGAGTGTATTACCCCTCGGGGGGGGGGACAGGGAAGGATGCCGTGATGACAGGAGCAGCGCAGTAGCCGGCCAGGAGAACGGATAGTTGCTCCTAGCGGCCGTGTTTTTACGGGCGCTCCTGCTGCACCGACGGATCCTTGCCCTCGACGGTCGAGATGGACCGTGGCCTCCCTCCCCCCGGGTGGCGGACAACTTTTGCTGTCGTCGCATTTAATTGCGTGAGTAAATTTCATCGTTTCCGTTAATCTCGGCGCTGTTTTTATGCGGCAGTTGGCGTCAGGACGGTTGTCGTCACTGCATGCGCGAGATTCTCGGAGCAGCTGGTCGTGCGAGTTGAAGTTTTCACGTGGTCGTCAACTGCGCACGAAGAAATCGGAGTTAATGCGTGCGGCAAGTGGCGTCAGGCGTTTTCGTCAAGTTGCGCACGAGAATCACGGAGGTCTTCGGCACGTTGTGAGCATCGTCACTGTGCTCGAAGATTTCGGGTGGCTTCACGGCAGAAACGACAGCTGGCCGGACAGGCCAGGCGCATAGTGATTTGCGTCGGAAAATGCAAACGGCGAGGAGAGACGGCGTGACGACTGCCCGAAGAAAGCGGGGGTCTACCGTCGTTCCGCCCGGGTGTGGCCGGTGTGGCTGCAGGAGGGTGCGTCTTTGGCGTTTTCGGCAGGTGCGGCACAGTGTGGGACGGAAGTTGTTTTCGAACCGCCGAAAAGTTCGGAAAAGGCCGCCTACGACTAGACTGTCTACGTTAGGGTCACTTCTGCGCCTGCAACAAGGTCGGCCGAAAATTTCGGAGCAACAGCAGCAGCCGACAGTGTACTTCATGCGGCACAGGTTCCCCCTGATCAAGGGAAGTTGCGCCGCAGACAGGGCAGTACACCGACGGGACAACGGTTTATCGCAGCGTCTAGACCCGCGAATTTCGCCTGGTCTACCGGTCACAATAAACGGAGTTGCGACAAATACGGGTCTGGCGAGAGAAACGGATTCCGAGCTTCAGGAGGGGCGAAAACGACCTACTGCGACGACTTTTTGCTGAGGGCCGAGTTTTGCGGCTAAGCGGCGGTAGCAGAAGGAGCTCCCTACCGGCCAAAGTCTACCGACGTTTCACATACCTCACGCCCAGAAGGCCTCGAAGGCAAGGAGTAAGTCTTATTGGCCACTGGATCCAAAGGTGGGGCCCTGTGTTTAGCCCTGTGCTGGCTAAAAAGTGCGGGTATTGCGCCAGTTCGACAGCTGGGCGTACAAGAAATTTTCTGGGAGAGACACTGTTTCGGCCCCGACAAAACCGGACCATCGGCAGCAGTTACCCCGCCGAAAAAGCCGGAGCTGAAGCAGTTGGTGCAGCTGTCGGAGTTTCTCCTGATTCAACGGTCTACCCGACGGCGGTGTAGCGGCGAAGAAGGGATTTCCGAAGCTGAGGAGTTTTAAACGCGATAGACGCGGTGGGCAGCGAAGCGGCCGGTCCGACTGTTTGATCCGATAAACATGACCCGGCTACGATAGCGTTCGCGCCTTCACCGAATGTCAGAAAAATCGCGGGCAACAAGGAGTTATACCTCATCCGACAAAAGCGAACGCTGGGTGAACGGCGGCAAGCGAAATTGTCGGGGGGTGAAGACACAAAACAAATGGAGGGAAATTTGTGGGTGCTCCAGCAGATCTCCAGAGTGAAAGGTTGAGCCCGTACACCAATCCACCGCGAATTTCGGAGTCTATTCGGTAGACCCCCGAAAGGGTTTGATATTGTTACATGGAGGCGCGGCGAGCGGTGTATCGCCAAGGATACCTGGGATTCGCTAAGTAATTTCGACGGGTGCGAAGACGGGTGAACGTCGGAGTACCAGGGTTAACGGCGGAAGCGTCGGGGTTACGCGGCGGAAAATACTTCGGGACTGCTTCAACAACCATGATTTTCAGGGTTTTTATTCCAACGGTGGGAGACGGATGAACGTCTGCTCGCCAGCTGTTTTAGCGGTTTACGGTGTACTTCGAAGCCATCTGGGGAAATTCTACAGCGAGATCTGCGGCGTTGATGCGGGCTAGGTTCCGTGAAATTCGGTCCCGGTAGACCCATAGTTCTGGGTTCCGCACAAAAAGCACCTCCTGTTGGTGGGTGGCTAGTGTGGTTAATCGCAGGAAATAAAAATGGCGACGGGTGGGCACGCTAGATACACCGGCTCTTCAAGGGGATAACCTGCAGGTGACCAAGACGTACGAGAAATTTCAACACCGACACTTACGGGTTTCAGCAGCAGTACTGGGAGCTGGGTCTTTACAAGAGTTCGGCGGTGACGGCCGACAATTTCGCGACAACGGCGGAGTTGCAGCGGCGCTGCGTTAAGCGCGCGAAAACTGCCGTGGTGAACTTCATGGTGGCAAAATCTGCAGAGTTTCAGGGGTACCAGCCGCAACACTGGTGAAATGTATCACAACAGGTGGGGGGAGGAAGGACAGCTTTTTCGCCTCTGCCCCGAAGTCTTCGGCGAGTCACGACAACAGCCGAGGTAGCTGACGTCATCGACAGTTCGAGTTTTCAACTTTGAAAAATATTTGCGAGGTCAGGGGGAAGAGCAGCAGCTGTTTTCGTCCCTGCCCGGGAGTTTTCGGAGCAACGCGACAAAGGCCTCGGCGAGTCTGGACAAAACTGCCGAGGGCGCCGACAGCTGGAACACTACAGCGAAGATTTTCGCCACAGCAACCAGCCAAACGGCAACAGCAATTCGGGATTGCAGCAGCTGCCAACTGGAGATTGGGCAGCAATAAAGTGATTCGATACTGCCACGCGGGGGATTACGAGGTGGCAGTCACGAGAGATGCTGCAGCAACAATCGCGACAACAAGACAACAAGAAGATTTTCTTAATGCCGAGCCCCTGCAAAAACGATATTCTTTCGAAGGGACTTCGACAGAGTTTACCCTGGGCATTTTCGGGGTTTTCGACAGTGAAGATTTCGCCACCGACCGCAATTTCGACTACACAGCGGTTGAATTTCAGGCGGGAGGTCATAACACTTGGTATTCTGTCCTACCCTCGGCGTTAGGGGGGTTGTGGTTTTGTGCCCGCGCAGCTGTACACATTTTGGTGGGCAGCAGTTCTCTTCCAAGGGGGGGGGGGGGAGAAAGAGTGCTCACGCACTGTTGTTGGCAGGCCTCTGACATTTCGCCAGTTATTTCTGACAGTTCGTCTGACACACCCAGCACGACGGACGCACGCGATGGCTTCATCGGCATCGACGGCACCAGATTCATCGATCTCTGACAACGCGTCAGAATTCCCGCCGACATGACATTCACCAGAACCATCCGATACACATCCGCGACATCGACGGTCTTCCTTCGTCGAACGATTTGAGATCGACATTCGCTTTCAACCGCCCGATTGACATCGACAGTATCAACGGCTGACATCCCAACTCTTTGAAATTCGCCTGGTCAACGCGCTCAGCCATGCGTCAGTTTGGGTTCGGCCTACACTTCGGCCCGAACCACTTCCGAGTCGCCCCGCACCAATCGCGACACTTCCAACCCATCCACGTCCCGAGGTCCTCGCCTGCCACGGTTTCGACCCTATAAATGCTTGCTTCTTTATCATTCTCGTCATTCTGTAGTTCTGATCCTTTTTATAAAGTCTTCCGCGCACTTTTCCTAGTACAACTCATAACAACCTATCAGGAAACCTAAAACTTGTTACTGGTTACCAGAAAAACGTCTCCGGCTGCTTAGGAATCGGCGCAGAACAGTAATGCTCGATTTGCAGAATAGCTGCTTAGTCTTATCATTGTAACGACCTCCGACCAGTCTGCTCCCAAGGAAAGTCGACACTGGTTTATCAAGCCAAGAACGCAAAAAAATCAGCAGAGAAATACTGCGGCTAACAAGGGCCTTAATGAAGCAGCACGACTAGAAGTGGCACGTGCAGACCATTCTTTAGGACGACGAGAAATCGTCGCGTCGCGGTGTAAACCTAAACAGAAAATCATCAACACGCATCCAAAAGGGAAAATATGTCAATGGTAACTTACATGGGGAACTATAACGCGTACGGTAACGATTTCAACGCGTTTGGTAACTCGCTTAACGCGTTTGGTAACTCGTTTAACACGTTTGGTAACTCGCTTAACGCGTATGGTAACTATACACTAGCAGCCCATCACGCGAATGGTAACTAGAAGAAACCCTCGCCCAAAATGACCATGATTCTGGTTTTTCCCGCTCGCGTCAGACTAAATTGACGAATCTTGAAGCAGAAATCTCTGACACACTCTCCGAAATCATGACACAAATTTTCCGAAATTCTGACACACTTTCCGAAATCCTGACACACTTTCCGATTTTCAAGCTAATTGCAAAACGTAAGTGTTGTGAAAACAACTGTTAATACAAAACTGATATTCTGGCGCTCTTTCCGCAAACTGTTTGTACTTCATTCTATCGTGCAGCCGGGGCAAACGAAATCTATAACCCTTTCAGATGACAAATGAATTTGAGGGCATCAACCCTAAACTCATTGCGACAAGGCGTTTATGGTTCTTTTTTTTTTCAAATAAAACATGTAATTCTCAACAGCTGTATTTTTTCCCACATGCAAAAATTCTCCAACGTTGCAGTTATTACAAAAAGTAAAGCCCCGAGGTTCTTTCGGGAAATGTTTTTTATCATTTTGCAAGTTCGCAATGATGCTATCAAAAATATGATTTTAACCGTCTTTGTACTAGCTACATATATATATAAAACGCCTCTGAAACTTTTCGGTCCATGGTAATATAACAAACGAGGTCCTTCAAAGTCGCGGCGGGACTTGTTCAAGACAGATAAAACTGTGCGTGAACGCTTTCACAATTGATAAATTCCTTTCTTGTCAGGATCATTTCGGCGGGAGTTTCATGTAGTTACCATTCGCGTGATGGGCTGCTAGTGTATAGTTACCATACGCGTTAAGCGAGTTACCAAACGTGTTATCCGAGTTACCAAACGCGTTAGCGGAGTTACCAAACGTGTTGAAATCGTTACCGTACGCGTTATAGTGCCCCATGTAAGTTACCACTTAAATATTTTCCCCATCCAAAACTCGAGTGCAGCAGCAGTAACTCCTAGAAAAAGTGCTTGCTGCTCCTCTGCCTCTCAGATCACCACGGCAGGCAATGTAGGGTGATATGGCGGGTGAAGAAGACCGTTCTGAAGCGTAAACCATCTGACTGAACCGGAATGCAGTAACCTCGGATGCCGGGGCCTGAGGGCGAAACTGATGTACAGAGAAATCAGGAGGGAGGTGGGAATGAGGAGCTCAGGGGCGTGTTTTTATGGTCATTTTAGGCTTGAGTTCAACGAGACACCACATTACGAACCACACCACACCACGGTTCTAAATTTGTCACGTGTATTGAAACAGAAAATGGAAACTACACGCGATCCGTCGCAAACTCGGTGATTGGAAATCCGTCCTGGGAGCTGGAGGTGACCGTTTCTCCCCACCCACTGCACCAGCAGGCAGTCACATAAAAAATCTCAACAAAATCTGAAATCCGAGGCCCTGGCGTTGGGTAACAAGGCCGTCTATGGCGCCTGGTAGGGGCAATTGATTACCTGTCGACGGTACCATTGAGAACCGCAATTATTCCCATCATGGGGTCCTATAATGACGACGACAATGAGCCACGTGTTGCGTCGTCGCGCCGCGGTCTCGATTTCGCCATTCGTCCAATGCTGCTTCAAAACCCGGAGCGCTTTCGTTCTGAATGCCCCTTGTCCGAACGCACCCTCCCAGAACGTCTTCTGGCGTCGTGTTTTCCGTTCTGCCACCCATTAACGCGCACAGCTGATCCCGTATCCTCTCTAGAAGCTGCTGATGACGTCAGCGTCCGACTCGCTGACGCAAACCACGCGCTTCACGATAGCGATAACGATGAGGACGATAATAACGAGGACGTCAGGAGTGGCTCTTATGCGCGTTCTCTGCTGCCACGTGTCATCGGATCCCTATGCCGCTGCCTGCCTTGGCATTGGACGGGGAATGAAAATCATGGCGCGGCGAGGCGGTTAGGAGGACCTGCTACTCGTAGGTCGAATCAAATAGCGAGGCGATTAGGAGGAGCGGCGGAGGAGGAGGAGGCGCAAGCTGGCGGGGACGAGGAGGAGGGGACTGTGAGGGTAGCGGAGGTGGAAGTCCGGGGGAAGGAGGAAGTGGGGGGTGAGGGAGACGAGGAGGCGAGGGAGGAGGGATCGAAAGAGGTCAAGGGGGAAGGGGATAAGGAGGATAGGGTGGAGGGAGAGGAAGAGCAACCTCCGGTGTATCTGAGATTCGAAAACCAGGTCAGTTCCACGTCTGCCGATTATTGGATTCTTTTTTTAGTCCGACCTTTGACGCTGATGACTTTTCTCATCTGCTGCTTCCCTGAGAATTCTTGTCCCCATTACTTCGGAAGTCAAAAGCGCGGACTGCCTGGGACTATGCGAACCATCCCACCACATCACATCCGACCCCATCCCACCACATCACATCCGACCCCATCCCACGAAGGCATGCAGCAGTGGACGTGCTGTGGCTGTCGCACACAGGCGAGGAGCACTGCTGCTTCGCCCTTCAGCCTGCCTGCCTGCTCCAACCCTCCTCTCCTCTTCTCCCTTCACCGTTCCCAACCCGACACCATGCCTCCTAACCCCAACCCACAGACTGAAGCAACAGTGGACGTGCTGTGGCTGTCGCACACAGGCGAGGAGCACTCCTATTTCATCCTCCTGTCCGCCTGCTGCAACACGCAGGCGACCTTTGAGGGGAACGTGTGGCTCGTGCGTGATGCTGCCACCAAGACGCTGTTGCACAGAGTGAAGGTGGGTGTACCATCATCAACCCCTTCAAATACAGGGGGTAATGGTGAGTTTGGCACTCAACGTGTGGCTTGTGCGTGATGCTGCCACTCAGAAGCTGTCCCATAGAGTGAAGGTGGGTGTACCCTTCAAAATTCCTGAAATACAGGGGTGAATGGTAAGTGTGGCACTCAATGTGTGTCGAACAGGGTAAAAGCCAATTATTGGAGCACGTAGCGTTCCATTCACAAATTTCCATTTGACAGTCTTCCTTCTGCACTCTTCTTCCATGCAAAGATTTTTAAAGGAAGCCGCGATTCACACCCTTCGCTGCTCGTTGTCCCAATGCATGCCACCCATCCAGGTCGCCCTGTGTTCCTTAGCTGGCTGTCGGCAAAGATACCTCATCGGCCCACGGCCATCTCAGCAGCGCATGCTGCTTGCCGCTGCTAACAGTGATGCTGATGCTGCTGCTGCTACTGCTGGTGGTCGCGGTGGTGATGCTGCTGATGGTGGTACTGCTACTGCTGGTGCTGCCTCCATCAGTGGCAAGCGAGTGGTAACGGAGGACGAAGCCGAGAGGGACGTGCGTGTGCCATCGTGCTACAGGCAGGTGGTCGGCACGGCAGTGGGCGTGCCAGTGGTGGCGCATGGGCATGTGTGCATGCAGGCGCTCTGTGCTGCTGCTGACATCGTCGAACATATGCTGGCGGTAAGGTGCTGCCTCTCCTGAGTCGACCAGAAAGGCAGAGAGGGACATTTGGGTTGATTCAGTCAAAGGGAAGAAAGGGGACCATGAGTGGAGTCAAAGGGAGGAGGGCGACATGTGGTGGGAGGGTGCCGGGGTGCTACAGGCAGGTGGTGGGCACGGCAGTGGGCGTGCCTGTGGTGGCGCATGGGCATGTGTGCATGCCAGCGCTCTGTGCTGGCATTGTCGAACACATGCTGCAGGTAAGGCACTGTGGGAGAGCACGAGCAGCATGCTGCATGGTCGTTTGTGCCAGAGGTGATAGCTGCAATGCCTGCAGATTATTGTTGATCCCTGCAATGCCTGTCCGCCTTGCTGCTTCTCCAATATCTCCTCACCACACACCCCCATCGCACCCCCCCATCCCCTTCCCCCCCACCCTTTCCGTTGCCCTGCCCATCAGCTCACCCCACCTGATGTGGTAACCCGGTTACAGGAAAACTGGTGCAAGGTGGCGGTGATTGGTCGAGAGCAGGTGACGACGGACATACTGGAGCACTCGCACCTGAGGGGGACTCGCACAGATGATGGCCGGGACTGGGACCATGAGGTGAGATTGGGGAGGGTGAGATGGGGGAGGGTGAGAAGGATGCGAGGTGGGGGAGGGAGAGATGAGAGGAGTAGGCGAGAGCGGAGGAGGAACGACCTGGTGGTATGGGTCATGGTTCTCAGGTAGGTGGTTGCTTCGCTATTGTTGTCACACACTGGTTTTGACATGTTCTTCTCGGTTGTGATGTCATTCCAAAGTGCACACTCCCTGTCATGTACTTTCTGGATCAATCATACTTGCATTTGTAGATCCCCGCAATGGTTGCGCCAATAGATGATTTTTAGGTGCCAAAGAAAAAACACACCCTCTGTCATGTGCATGTGCGTGGATTGATCATGGTTGCACTTGTAGAGCTACGCCATGGTTTCGCAGATGGATGCATCACTCGGCCCTGCCTTCGTAGACCTTTGTAAAACACACTCTGCACTCATTTATTAAAGGTGTGACATGCATGCTTGTGTGTATGTGTCCATGTGTGCATGCCTGCATGGCAGGTGCGTGGTTTGGGCGGCACCCTGGTCATCCCCACGTGCTCAGTCGGCGAAGAAAACCTTTTGCGCTGCCCGAGAGATCGGTACCGGGAGGAGAGCATTCTGGTGCATGAGTTTGCTCACACGGTGATGGAGGTATGCTGCTGCCATGCATGCATGAATGCATGTGTTCCCGTGCGACCATGCATGCATGAGTTTGCACACACGGTGATGGAGGTATGCTGCCATGCATGCATGAATGCATGTGCTGTGACACATGAGCACTCATGATCATCAAGGTTGGTGTCCTGCCCCGAGGTTCAACTCAGCACCTAGCAGCAGCAGCAACAGCAGTTTCCCCTATATGTGAGGTGCTTGGATGGCATGCATGGGGATGAATTTTAGCGTGTGAAGCAGCAGTATTCACATGTATGAACACATTGGTATCTGGAGCCTATCTGTTCGGATGGTGCTGCTATCTCTTTCAATGCATGACTCACCCTAGATTCGTTCTCCTTCCACGGGCGTGTGGATGCATGTATGTATGCATGTATGTACGCATGCATGTACGCATGCATGTACGCATGCATGTACGCATGCATGTACGCATGCATGTACGCATGCATGTGCGCATGCATGTACGCATGCATGTATGCATGTATGTACGCATGCATGATCTCTCCTTCCACATGACAGGTGGGGTTCGATGAGTTCCTCATGCACCGAATCTCCCAGTGCTTCCAGCGGTCCAAGGTAGTTTTGCACATCCAAATCCCACCCCCACCCTGCTCATGCAGCGACCGAATCCATGTGCCGGTCATTTGTCAGATACTTGTCTCCGTGCACTCTAACTAGCAATTGTGTTGTTTTCCACCCTGCTGTTTCCCACACATGTGCCGGTAGTTACAGTCCAGTTTTTCCAGCTTGTTCATCCATATTGGTTGGTGTACACTTTCTTATTCTGCCCTTAATGGCCTCCTTTCATGCTCTCCCTCCTAATCAGCACCTCTATCCATCTACTGCATACATGGTGGCAAACAAGGAAGAGTATTGGGCAGAGGGTAGCCAGTCTTGGTTCAATGCCAGTGTGCGTGTAGACGTAAATGGCGGAGTAAATCATCGTGAGCGATTGATTGAGAAAGATGCAGAGCTTGCCAAGCTGTTACTGGAGATTTATGGGGATGGGGATTGGAGATATGATTTCACCCCTATCAGAGTGGCTCTGCCAAGTACTAAGGACAGAACACCTGCAAATACGGTATGTGAGTGGCATTATTTTTACTAATAACGGTTTCTGGTACCTAAGAGGCTGTTGGTAGGTGTTACGAGTGCAATTGAGTGAGCGAGCGAGGATTGCACTATCGAGACAAGATACAATGAGCGAAGGATTGAGCGAAGGATATATAGCGAAGCTACGGTGGTAACGGTAACGTGTGAAAAATGGGGTGCGCGACGGGCCTGGTGCCGAGGTTGGGGACCTGTCGAGGCAGAGGTCCGGAGCACGGGTTACCAACCGAACCGTGAGGTTGGGTCGCATCGTGAACAGTGGCGGGAATGGTGTCGAGGCGAGTGTCGCGAGTAGTAACGGAATATTGTGGGGTGCTGTTGGCGGGAACAGTGGTGTACGCGCTGAGCAGGGACGCGAAGTAAGGGAAAGGGATTTTCCTTACACTAACCCCCCCCCCTCAAGGAGGCCTCTCTTACGAGAGCGCGTGTATATCCCGGAAATTCCGGCTGCGCAGATACTCGCTGAGGACGGGGTGGTTTTCGATTTTGTCCAGTGGAATCCAATTGTCCTCGGTGGGCGTGCGGTCTCTCCAGCGGATCAGGAATTCGACCCTTCGAGCTCCTCGTGGGTCACGAACTCGGTGGCTCATAATTTTCTCGGGTGTGATGACTGGTTCTGTCGGTGGTCGTGTCATGCTGGCTGGGCGATTTCGGACCAGTTGGCTGGTGGATGGGATGTAGCGGCGAAGCAGGCTGACGTGGAAGGATGGGCTGACGTACCAGTCAGCAGGAAGGAGGAGGTGGGCAGTGACTGATGTGATCATGTGGCTGATGCGAAATGGCCCGCAGTATTGGGGGCGGAGTTTCGGGGTTATGGGCAGGCGGAGGTTTTGAGTGTCGAGTAAAACTAAGTCGTCGGGCTGGTAAGTGACGGGCCTGCGGTGGCGGTCGGCGTTGCGCTTAGCGATGACGTTGGCTTTTTTTATTGCCTCAGCTGCCCTGGTTCGTGCTGCCTATAATATTTCTGCGAATTGTTGCGCACGTGGTACTGGGTTGTCGGGACTCGGGGTCATGGGTACTGTAGGGTCTTGTCCGTAGTTCAGGTAAAACGGCGACTGTTGGGTCGTGGCGGATGGTGAGTTGTACGCGAATTCGATGAGGGGCAGTTGCTGCTCCCAGGTGGTCGAGTCGTCGCACGTGGCTCGGATCAACTGTTCCATGGTCTGATTTGTCCGTTCTGTCTGTCCGTCGGTCTCGGGGTGGTACGAAGAACTGAACTGTAGTCTCGTGCCGAACTGCTGCCACAGGTTCCTCCATAAATTGCTGGTAAATTTCGTATTGCGATTGCTGATGATTGCTGCTGGTATCCCGTGTAATCGAACGATGGTTGCGATGAAGAGGCGGGCCGTTTCTTCGGCTGTGATTGAATTTTTGCAGGCTGCGAAATGTGCCATTTTCGTCAGCCGATCGACGACGATCAGGATCGCGTCGTTCCCACTTGCTCCCGCCGGTAACCCCGTGACGAAGTCCATCGTCACCTGCGCCAAGCACGCTCTGGGGGTGGTATCGGCTGCAACTGTCCTGCCGGTCGCTTCCGTGATGATTTCAAGACTTGGCAGGTGGGACACGATGCCACGTGTCGCTGCACGTCGGTCAGCATTTCGGGCCAATAATAATACCGCTGCAGCTGCTGCCGTGTTTTCTCTACTCCGAAATGTCCTAAGGTGACTCCGTCGTGTGCCTCTTGCAACAGTAATTCCCGTAGGAGCGTGTAGCCCGGTACCCAGATGCGATCAGTGCCCGCTTTTACGTAATAGACCCCTCTTGCCGTTGCAAATTGCTGCGAATTTCCGCCTGTAAAAAATGGGTCAGTCTGGTAACCATAGGTAAATAGGCCTGTCAGCAGGGGGCTGGTCTGGGCGAGTAGTATGGCGTGGAGTTGGGCTGTGGTCCGGGTTAATGCGTCGGCGATGTTCGATGCCCCTTTTTTGTAGGTGACCGTGTAGTGAAAATTCGACTCGAGGTAGTCGAGCCAACGGATTGTTAAAGTTTCACTACGGGCGGTGTGGGTCGGCGATGCGCAGTACGGGCGGTGAACAGAGAACATTTTTCAGGGTAGAGAAGGCAGCATGCTCTTTCTCCCCCCACGTAAAAGCGACCCCCTTCCGCAGTAAGTCTGTCAGTGGGGCAGTTAAGCGTGCCATGTCGGGGACGAACCGACGCACGTAATTAACGAATCCCAAAAAACTCTGCAGCTCCGTGATGTTCGTCGGGGGGTGCCACGCTTTTACCGTGTCCAGTTTCTTCGGGTCGATTTCCACTCCAGCCTCTGAAACGACGTGCCAAAAAAAAATTATAGCCTATCCTGGAAGAACTCGCACTTGGAATTGTCAAACATATATGCTATAGTCTTTCTAGGCTGTAGTGGGGTAGTTCATATAGGGTACAACACTTTTAGGTTTCCTACTTGTACCCACCTGCTTGCTAGTTCAGTCATTCCTTCCTTCACTATTCTAACATGGTATTCTGAGCAGGTTCCCTCGTGGGAACGTTTTTTTAGGGCCCACCACGATCTTTTTTTTCCTGCCCTTCCCGAAGCGCGCTTCGCGCCTGCCTCACCTGCGCCGTCGCGCGCCCTGCCCTAGAGCCGCCCGTCGTGGCCCTGCCTTTTCGGCCCGTCGAGGCCTTGCCCTAACGGCCCGTCGCGGCCCCTGCCGTCGCGCCCCTGCAGTTGCGGCCCCTGCAATCGCGGCCCCTGCCATCGCGGCCCCTGCTGTCGCGGCCCCTGCTGTCGCGGCCCCTGCAGTCGCGGCCCCTGCCGTCGCGGCCCCTGCTGTCGCGGCCCCTGCAGTCGCGGCCCCTGCTGTCGCGGTCCCTGCAGTCGCGGCCCCTGCCGTCGCGGCCCCTGCCGTCGCGGCCCCTGCTGTCGCGGCCCCTGCCGTCGCGGCCCTGCCCTGCTGTCGCCCTAGTCGCGGCCCTGACCTAACCGCCAGCTGCGGCCCTGCCCTGCACCCGCCCCTGGTAAGCACCCGTGCCGCCCAGCCGAGCCGCGCCGCCCAGCCGAGCCGCGCCGCACGGCCGAGCCGCGCTGCCCAGCCGAGCCGCGCCCCCCGGCCGAGCCGCGCCGCCCTGCCGCGCCGCGCCGCCAGGAGCCGAGCCGCGCCGCCCTACCAAGCCGCGCCGCCCAGCCGAGCCGCGCCGCCCTACCGAGCCGCGCCGCCCTGCCGAGCCGCGCCGCACTACTGAGCTGCACTGCCCTGCCCGCACTGCTCCTGCTGCTACTGCTATTTCTGCTGCCACTGCTGCTACTACTGCTACTGCCGCTATGGCTAGCCCTACTGTTCTTACCTTTGATGCTGAGGGGCGTGCGGTTGACTTTGACGTGTGAGTTGACGACCTGCAGCTTTTTCTTCAGTATGACTCTAAGGA